ACAGACACAGACGCAGACAGACACAGACGCAGACAGACACAGACGCAGACAGACACAGACACAGACAGACACAGACACAGACAGACACAGACGCAGACACTGACACAGACACAGACAGACACGGACACAGACACAGACACAGACACAGACAGACACAGACAGACACAGACACAGACAGACACAGACAGACACAGACACAGAGAGACACAGACAGACACAGACACAGAGAGAGAGAGAGAGAGACAGACAGACATACAGACAGGCAGACAGACAGACAGACCGACGGACAGACAAACAGACAGACAGACAGACAGACATACATACATATCCAGACTCGAAAGGCATCATCTCATAAAGTCGTTCGTTTCGCGTTGTGTTGCGATGTCATTTTTAGGATAATTAGGACGGCGTGGACGCGTCCTCATCGCACTGGTTTGTGTCGTTTGTGACATAACCCCATGAAAATTTGAAATCAGGACCGTCCTTTTTTTTCTGAGGGATCGTTGCGTTTTTTTGCGCACACTCAAAATCTCTTAGTCAGGCAGATCTTGAGGTGTATCTCAAGGGATTTCGCGGGTGGGGGTGGGGGGCAGATGCTTGCCTTCGTGTCGTGTTGCACACACTAAAATATCTAAAATATACTAAAATGTCATCAAAAGAACCGTTGGGTTTTTGAAATGCTTTGCTGCTTTACATAAGACGTCAATCTTTTCACGAAAGCTAGCGAAGCTAGCTGGAGTTACTCTTGCGATAGCAAGGTTTCTTTCGACCGGGTGCAAATCCTAACCCCTGATTTTTCAGGTCGAAGACCCCCCCCCCCTTGTCTTCCTCCCATCTTCCCTCCCTCCCTCCTCCCTCTTCGCAAGTTCGACTCCGTCCTGTCGTCGCTCTTTGGCATGCGGTTAGCGTTGCGTATCTTGCGGCCGCACTCGCTCACTCTCACTCTCACTCTCTCACTGTCTCACTGTCTCACTGTCTCTCTCATCTCTCTCATCTCTCTCATCTCTTTCTCATCTCTCTCATCTCTCTCTCCTCTCTCTCTCTCTCTCTCCTCTCTGTCTCTCGTCTTTCCGTCTCTCTTCTCTCTCTTCTCTCGCAGGAGGATCCGGGCAAAGAGCCACATATAAAGGACTCTTCACCCCTGCCTCCAAAAAGAGCGCCGTGTTTTTTCCTACCTCGCTGCCCTCCACTTTCCCATTCTGGAGCGCTAGCTTTCGCCCCCCCCTTGGCCTCAAGTTTTAGTCAGGAAGATGGCTTCACGAACTCGTGTGGTTCTGGAAATATTGCAACCGATATAACTTCCAATATCTTCTAATATGGAACTGTTCACCCTTCCATAATTTCACTTTCCTGCGCAAAGAGAGCGTCAGTGTAATGACGCCATGACTCCATATGAGTAATTAGAAATATGAGAGCGTCAGATTGCTTGCCTTTCCATGCCCTTTTTTTGCTGCGGACTTCGTGTGTGAAGATGTCAATGAACGTAGAATGCCTCGCTCTTGCAACCAAGTATTGCAGGAAGCTACTGCAATCTTGTTTTTCCCCCCACACACAACCGCACAGATTTTTTGATACTGTCATTTGCCTGTGAGGTTTAGCACCAGACAAAAGAGCGCTGCTTCAGTTCAAGGCAGGAGAATCTATGAAATGGATTTCTCAGAGTTGGCCATCTAAGCGCGACAAAGCAACTTGTATGCTTTCACAGCCACTGACTCCGGGCCACTGATTGTCTTTGGGAAATGGTGTTGTGCGGGGTGACTATCGTTTTGATCCTTTGTTTGAGTCAAACAACGGTCAAGAGATAATATTAAACGGGGAACACTCAAGGTGGTTGGGCCTCTTTAATGCGGCCCCGTTTTACTTTCCTTTCTTACTTCTCTTACATACACTTGTGAGCTTGCCAGGATGAAAAGGGCAGGACACCTGGCGACCTTGCGATCGAGCGAGGCCCGTGTCTCTGGCGTGGATCGTTATAAAGTGCGCTGCCGGAAGGAACTCTTGGTATATACATTCAACTGTTGTAAAACAGAGATTCGCATTTTGCTGAGTGATCTGGCACACAGACTGGGTTTGGGGTCTACCTGCGGATTGTGTGGCTTCTTTGGCTTGGCAGGATGTGTGGATTGGTTTTAGTGTGGGAAGTGGACACGCCTCGGGCAGGTCTCAAACAACTTTCTGCCAAGGCCCCAAAAGTTCGATTCCGCCACTGAGGCCGGAGGCCTGTGGCTTCTCTCTTGGCTGAAACCTGACCGGGAGCCAGAACTGTCAATGAAGGGCTTTCTCCAAAGGGATGAAACGATCTCACTTGAGATTTGTTAAAGACAAGTTCTATCAATGCAAAATGAGATGAGCTGACGAGTGCCAAAAGTTGCAGAACTGCAACGTTTCACCTTCAAGGGTCAACACGATCCCTGTACACAACGGTCAACACACAAGGCCCAGGCAATGAGTTTTGGCCAAATGCAACAAGACCTCGCCCAAATGGGCACGCTTGTTGGGATTATGTCCCTGAGAAAGGAGCAGGGCAAAAAGACTTATTGGCAAGCTTGCAAACTCTAGTCTAGAACTGTGAACAGCCAGAAACCTGCGGAGTGAGCAGGGGAATCTGCGCCATGATCCAAGTTTTTGCCTAAAATTGACTTCCAGCTGCCACAGAACCTCAGAGCGCCTTCAGGTACTCACGTTTATCCAACGCACGGTAGTAGAATGGAAGCAGTTGCAAATCGGTTTCTTGATGGGCAGCACGGATGGCAGGTGAAGGAGCTGAAGCGCAGCATAATCCCATGAGCCAATTTCTGCATTTGAACATGTTGGAGGCAAGTTACGGCGAGCCAATGGGAGCCGCTTTTGCCATAGCTGTCTGATAAACATCCAATATGTTAGGGGATAAATACGCCGTCCAGCTACTTTCTTTCCACTACGCAAGAGTGAGAGCATATAGTGACAACATGTACAATATGTATATTAGTTCAGTTGCAGTCAGACCTTATGTGGTAGAAGACACATGGATAGATTTACAGCCCAAAACAATCTGTACCAAACCCATTTCGTCACTCCGTCACACCTGCGTGGGGTGGCTCTCAGTGACCAAAGGACTTGAGACTCCAGACTTTTCAATCTCCAGGCACTGGGAAGGCTTGGAGAGGGCATTTATCGGCTGAAGGGCTACACTGAACTGAATCACGCAGCATTGCCGCCGGCCTAGCTGAATTCTGGAAAGGTAATTTGCATTTGCATTCAAATTAAATGTCACCAAGGTACAAAATCCTTCGCAAATGGGACAAAGTTCTGAAGCGAACCGATGGGGTGGCAGAAATCTACCCTCAAATTATCGAGGCTTGACAGCTTCAACTTGAAATCACTGGAGAATTTGAGACCCATCAGGAGACATTTATACAGTTCGGTCGAGTATTTTTTGAGCATCCAACTGAGAACTGCAGAGCTGTCAGGGATGAGCAATCTACTCTGCTCCAGTGAATAGCATCCGACAATTCAAGAAACCGGCTGACATGGTATGTGTTGCAGGGCACGCGCATTGGCGACATGACCGCCATAGAAGCATTGGATGCCAACGTCAAGGAGGTGGGCCCAGCAGGTCAGTCAGTTTGGGTCAGTATTCCACAGCAGGAATGTTTGAGGGTGACCAATGTGAAAGATATAGACGATTTGGATCGATTTGTTTTGGTGCTTTAGGTGATGAGAAACTCCAGCTGGTGGGACAGAGCCCTCTTGAAAGACAAGACTTTGATGCTGCCAACATCCAAAGACGAAACGAGGAAGAATCCACATACTTAAATAAGTAGGAAGGTGGGGAGCCGGCGTTAAAAAACGAATCGGCATCTTGTGGAACTCACGAGGCCCACTGCCTCAGCGTTCAGAATGACGAACGCTATTGTAGCATTCTGTAGCTTCGCTGTGAGCTGGCGAGGCATTTTCCAGGCAGTCGCCAGCTACAAATCCAGACATTTCACCAGAGGCCGGATACCTTGCACCTTCAAGGAACAAGTTGAATTTGTTACACATTCCATCATATTCCATCGTATTCTTACAAATTGTATATATAATATATATATTATATATATATCTCATAATTTACAATATAATGTATTCCTATTCCCAGCAAGCGACCTGTCGAGGGGGGCGCATCGTGCCAGTCATGACACTGTTATCGTACCCCAGATATCAACCGATGCCCCAAGCTGGCTCAAACATCGTATCTCAATCTTGGCCATAGAAAGAGGAGCAACGAGCACTCCTGATTGTATCTGAAAGAGGTATTGCTTTTGAGATCTTTGAGTTTGACAGCCTATCAGCGAACTTTGAGGCCACATGGCCCTTCTCAGCTTGCAATTTGGTACCAGGGTCACAGCCTATCATTTACTGCAGCATCTTTAGCCCCTCAGCAGGATGAGCGTTTTGCACGGGGCACGGACTCCAGCCACAGTTCTTCCCACTCGCAGTGGGCGTATTTGGCACAGAGCAGCTCTGCCAGCGGCCATTGCGCCCTGTCCAGCCGGTCCAGCTGGTCCAGTGGCCATTGGTGGCTTGAGTGGCTTGAGTGGCCTCTCCTGGGCGTGCGGGAAACGTCGGCGCAGGCTGCACAGGCGTAGGGCCGAAGGACGTCCAGTGAGTGTGGTGGTGGAGGAGACGGATAGACATGAACTCCCAGGCGCCCAGAATTTCTTGCCAGTCCATAACAAATAATTTGGGAAGACTGTTTCAAACCTTGAGAAACAGCATGAATTCCCAATGCGCAAATTTTGGCACATTCTTGCTTGGGAACGAAATCCCCTGAAGGTTGCAGCACTGAGTGGATGGATAGCTTGCTGCAGCAGAGAGCAATAGAGGTTCTTTTCAGCGGAGTGGAGCGTACTGAAGTGCAGGAGGATGGACAGGTCTACCTGTTCTTCCCCAGGATGGACATTGGGCCATACACATCGCAGGCAAGGCCATTCAATTGGCGCAGAGACCCTTCTTTAATGAAGTGAACTCACAGATGAATCACTTGGTCGAGTTTGACCAACTGCCATTGGGAAGCCCATGAACTTGTTGATTGTGTCCACTGTGCACAACCCCGAACTTGCAGGCTAGACCAACGGGTCGTAACCGTAACCAATCGTTTCGTAAAGGACCGCAAACCCTGAGAGGTACGAATGACCTGCCAGATTTTACAAGAAAAGGCAAATCGAGCCGACGTGAAGGCCCGCACAAATGCAGATTCTGGTTTTGCATTTGCAAGATATGTTTTTTTGTTCTCAGCCTATCAGCCTGGCAATCAAACCAGCAGTGAAGGGGACTCCAAAACATTCTCTCTCTCTCTCTCGACATCTTTGTGTCCCTCCCTCCCTCCCTCCCTCCCCCGCTCTATTGTTTTTCACTTGGCTTGCACAGGTCCTTGCCATCAATCCCGGGCTCATGAAGGATGGTGCCATTGAGTACCTCAAGGCTCAACTGGCCATCCAGTTGTGTTTGTAGGGACCACCGAGTTCCTTTTCACTTGTGCCCAGGAGTTTGAGGAGTTGCTCGAAGCAAAGACCGAGGCAGCCTTTGTGTGGGATTATTGGCATTTGTGATTGTATTGTTTAGAAATGTGTGATTCTTATTGCGCGGAAGTTCGTGCAGATTCAACTACGTTGGCAAGATGACCGACGTGGCGGTCTACGAGTCTACCAGCAGGCCATCTGGGTCGGACTGCAATAGAGTTCTTTGGTGGATATAGCTTCAGAAGCTTTTAACAGGGTTACACACGTGGTTCTTTTGCGTTCTTCACTGTTGGACCATGTTAGACCGACATTTGTCAGGCCTTGCAAAGATTCAAGTACTATATGCTGAGAGCTTACAGACAAAAGACACGGTGCTTCAAAAAAGTTGGGACTCAAGACTCACCCAGATGAGGTGCTGAGGTGGTGCTGAGGTGCTTGTCGGTGCCTAACTTTTCTGAGGCCTACCTGGTTCCCGATCCCGGATTCTGTCACGGAAGCGTTGCTGAGGATGGAAATGGAATGATAATGAATGATATGGATGGATATGGTGTTCTGGTTGTGGTTTCTGGAGGGACCCAAGCTGCTGGATTTGCTACTGGCAGCCTGTTACAGTAGGTGTGACATTTACACAAGTGAGATTTCTCGTGCAGTAGGAGTTGCAGTCATGCTTTTGAGTGCTTCAAGAGCTTTATTGCGAAGGACTTTCATCTCCCAAGCAATGAGGGCTGGACATGAAGAAGTGTTCAGGAGAGGAGGGATTTGATTTTGAGATTCGAGTTTGTTTGGCAAGCAGTACCAAGTCCGCTACAAAGGCATGATAAGCACGCGATATGCGTACTTCTCTTGTGTCACAAAGGGTTGTGGTCGTTTGGCCACACTGTGCTGCCAGGACCCTTGAGAAGGAGGCCAAGGATGCGGGCCTAGCCTGAGACCTTCCAGGTTTGCAGACCTTTCTACGCTGCTGTCGTCGTAGCGTTTCAGTTCTCTACCTGGAGTGGACCGTTGCTTGAACTGCATCGGCAAAGCTTTGTGATTTAAGAGGCTAGGCTAGGCCAAGCCTTCTCCCTTCTCTGGTTTGCGATTCACTGCCACCACTGCATTTTTCTTTTGAAGCAGTGGTCAAAGACTCGTTCCTGGCTACAAAAAGCTTGCACGACTGTGCATTTTGCAACGCTTGAGTGGCAGTTGTCTGAGTGGATCTATCCTGTCGCACATGAATCTCAAACTTACTGTAAGCAGCTCTTTAATGAATGCCAGTCCTGGCAAAAACAACTCTTGCCTAGTTTTTATATGTCACACTGTCACCGCTGTCACCGATGTATGACAACTGTTTCTTGCAAGTGACGCTGGCTTCACTTACACCGTCTCTGAGACAAAGCTTCTTGATTCATGACTCCTATTCAACACTAATCACTGTTGAGCATCCCAGATATTCCCAGACTGCCAGACCACGATCAAGACACTTTTTCTATCACAGGTCAAGACACTTTTTCTCACCAGACAGAAGGAACGATCGGACGGTGCTATGGTCCCGCCAAACATGGCTGGCTACGAAGTTCAATAGAACAAGAAGCCCGTTTACTGCCGCATGTTGTTGGACATGGGGTAGTTCGTGTGCAGGTGGCTCTTTTGGCTGCTGGTTGGACTCTGAGAATTTAATTCTAGCCATGGCTAGCCAAACTTCAAGTGCTCATTCCGTTGGCCTTGCAAGGAATTCTGTCAATGGGTATCATAGAGAAAGTTGGATATTGATATTGAGCATTGAGACTCAATGCTCTTATGTCTAATGACCACATCATATCAAACGGATCAGTACATTGAGAGCTTGAATACTGCAACAGCGTCAGTGTCACAAGCTCTTGGAGCGTTTGAGGCTTGGGAACTCGTTCTGCTGGTCTGCAGGCACACAACGCTACCCAGTCAGAAATTACCAGGCAGAAACAAAGAGTCAGCAACCAACCAAGTCAGAACCAAGGGGGCTGAGTCTGAAACTTGCTGTACAAATCTGTACAAAGATTTGGCGCTTTGCTGCCATGTTGCTGGGGTGCGATGTGAATTGGCTTGAACCATTTTGTTCCCATTCCACGGTTGAGGGGTCGGGGCGGTGCAGGCCTTGGATTCCAACTTGCGAAGATTCAGTTCTTTTGTTTTTCCGTTTCAACACAGGAGCCCCTTTGGTTTCCGATTAACCATGTTTGTTTTGGAACAACTTTGTTAACGCCAACTTGTACAGCCAACTTTGTCATTTCGGGAAGACATGGGAAGACTGAGAGACCTGTGGAGACCTTCATAGTACTTTTTGCACACAGGGTCTCGAAGCATCGCTTGCACTGTTTCTCGGGCTGTTAGAGCTCCATGTTGCAGTTACTTTGTGACTATCTATATCTATCTATTCGCATTCGTTGCATTGACTCTTCCGACTTCTGAAATGAAACAAACACATTACTGACTGCAGTGGCTTTTGATGGCTTTTGCAAGTTTCTGACAGCATCCAAACACCTCCTTTGTCCGCGGCTTCCGGCGAAGGGCCAAGCGCTTCGCGCCGAGCGCCTCCTGTTTTTCTTCCTAGGGTCAGCGCCATAGTGAGATTGTGTTTTGCATTGCCATCCAATGAGATTGCCATTATTTATGATGGTTTCAACTTTCTGCACAGCGGGCAAAGAATGCAAGAGTTTTTGCATCCTTCAGTCTTAGCGTTTTGGAGAAGGGCAAACTGCTATGACGTAGTCGTCATTGTCAACCTCACTTTCAGGTCCTCATCCGCACTCGTACTATCGATCATTGCATTGATTTGCTTGCCAGAGAAGGTGCCGCGGCATGCTTCAAAGCTCGCGACATGCTAGAAGGATTTTGAGCTCTAGGCTTGAAATGTCACAGAAGCTTTCAATAGGAATATATATATATAATTAAAGCTAAAACATGCTAAAAATCCCTCTTATTCATCATTTTCATCGATGAGGGGGAAGAATGTGAAAGGATAGGTTGCTATTCTGATTCCACTTTGGTTCCCCTTTCTAAGCGCAGAAGAGTAAACATCAGTTCCAACAGGTAGTAGAATTCGCAGGCTATAGTCTATATATACTTATTTGATCATATTTGCAGCTTTGGGCAGGACCCTATGACCTTCTCGAAGAACTATTTTCTTTGCAGCTTTCCCGTGTCCGCCGCTCAAACACATTCCACAGCATTGAAGCCTAAGAAACATCCAAGTTACAGACCAAAATAACTATTTGTTGTTTGTGCTGTTTTGTTTTGAATCGAAAGAGCGTTTGAAATCCACGCAGTATGTGGAGGTTCCGCGTGTGTTTGAGCGCGGTGCTGGTCATTTTGGGACTCGCTTACGTGGCCCGAGTCTGTCCGACTCCCAGCGCTGCTAAAGCGGCTTCTGTGAACGCTCTTCTTCCCGTATTGTATTCGTCTTGTAATGTATATAAATATAAGATACAGTGTTCTCTGTAAAATTAGGTTGGACCTGAGCATGTGATTCAAGTTCCGAAGAGTTTGCTTGAGTGCTTGGGTCAAGCTTGGGTCAAGCTTTTTGTTCCTCTCACAACATGCCAGGTGAAGACAACTTCATCAATCACTTGCCCAGCGCTTGGTCCGGTGAATTGCAAGCACGATTGGAAAGACAGCCACCAGAGCCTTCTGAGCAACAATTGATTCGAGCCTGCCGACACGCGCACACACTTTCAACTGGACTCTCAAGAACGTTGAACATTGTCCATGTAGACACTTGGACACGTTGAACCACTGTAGATCTAGTAGATACTGATCCCGTTAAAAGGGGTACAGTAGCTCCAGAGAGGCATTTGTTGGTTTCCAAAGGCTCCAAAGACTCCATGTTCCTAATAGCTTCTTGCTCCTAGTAGCGATGCCAGGAGCCCCTAGTAGCATCCTTGCTCCTAGTAGCGATGCCAGGAGCCCCTAGTAGCTTCTTGCTACTAGTAGCGTCCATGTTCCTGTGGTTTGCAATTCTTGGATGCTCAGTTTTATCCTTGGCATCGATCCTCGCTGTCGAGTCAGTCCAGCGCCAAGGATGGGCTTGCTCTAGTCTTCTTCAACGATAACTGCTTGAACACCTACAACATGCTAGACTCCATTTGGGTTTGTTGACCTTTGTGAATTCGTAAACAAAGTCGTACGAGTTTGCTTTTCAAATGAACTTAACACCTGGACACACTTTCAGGCCCCAACTTTCTCTTCACCTGGGCCATGCTCTTGAGCTCGGCCTGGACTGGAAACTATGAAAACTGGATAAAACTGGAAGGTTTGTAATTTTTTTTGTCAATTTGTCAAAGGACCATTCTGCTTATTTTCCAGTCCAAATAGACCCGAACGGCAGGTTGCCTTTTTGGCGCAAACCTGCTTGACCCAAGGGCGTCATGAGGGATCCATAGTTGGTGTACTAGAAGCACTCTCAAAAGAGCGTATAAGCCCACATTGCAGCAGAGTCTATGAGATCTAAGTTGCAAGTGACGATTGTTCCTTGACAGATAGGATAGGACGGAGTTGTGAAACAATCTTTGTGCATTAGTTAGTCTGCTTCCGTTCTTGCAACGCCTGTTTAAAAACGTAAAACCTGCCCACATTTGCAATCTCTCTCATTTGTGTCCGGAGGATATTGGTTTTCGGCTTTTACGTCGTGGACTACAAATGGATGGTTCTTCCATTGGTCAGACACCTGGTTCAGAACCAGGGTCTCCTGGAGCATGTTCAGAAAGGTGTGGGCATTTCAATTCCACAAATGCAGCGTTAATTTCCTTTCGCACGGTTGGCCCTGTTAAAGCTGTCATATTTCCCTTGTCGACGCTGCGAGTTCATCGACTCGAGCCGACTCGAAGGGCATCTCTACTAGGAGCAAGGACGCTACGAACGGGGCTCCTGGCCTTACTAGTAACAAGAATGCTGAATGCTTTCTAGTAACTAGAAGCTACTAGGTTGGAGGCCATAGCTACTAGTAACCATGCAGCTTTCTAGTATGTTTTTGAACCATCTATATAAGTCTACCATTGCCTCCGCCTCCTCTTTAGATTTACTAAACAAGAGCAATTCTCCATCCAAGCTATCACGGCTCAAGCTGTGACCTCAAGCTGGACGAAAGTGAACGGGCACGCCAAGAAGTGATTCAAAGAACTCCACTCAGAATATGCATCCTGCAACAACCGCAGTCTGGCTTGGTTTGGCAGGATATCCCGCGTTCCCAGCTTGGGATGCGATGAAGCCCAAGCATAAGCTTCTGAGGCTTTGCATACAACTTTTGGCCCCAAGGGAGCTTGCCGCAGTTTTGTTAGGGTCATTTTGGAGCATGCATTTTGTGAATGCAGCTACGTTCTGAATCGTGCCAGTAGATCCGACACACATTCCTGAACACAAATTCCTGATGGATCCTGAAGCATCCTGAAGCTTTGCGTTTCCTAACATGCCACCAGCCTGCCATGCCTCGTCTTTGCAACCTGATGAGGAGGTAAGGGCCGGTCAGGGGGTGGATTTATGCATATTTCTGCTGGGGTCTTTATATTTTATTTGGGGCATCAGATTTGAAAGGCTGAAGCATCCACATGCCTGTGCAAGAACGCAGGAAAGAATGAGCGAGGACCCAGCGACCAATCCCGTCTGTGGGCTTTGCTGAGTTTGCAGATCACAGTGATTGCCAGGGCATCATCTTGTGCACATACAACATTCTACAACCCAATCCATACCTTTAAAATATCATTAACGCCTCTGACTCTGGCATACCTTGACTCTAAAGTATGTTGCAACACCTAAGCAATTATGTTGCCTCTAAAAGTCACATTCTTAAAGAATTGCGATGGCCTCCAACCTAATAGCCTTAGATCCTATATAAATTGTGCCGCCTCTTACCATATCTCCTTCACTGCCTCAGGTGTTTTGCCTGCCGCTGCTGTTGCTGCAAAGACAGTGACTCATCCCACAGCAGCGGCGACTCTGAATCTGCATTGTCGGAGGACAGTCTTCAACGTCTCGATGTATCATGCATCAAAAGTGGGACGATCAAGTGGCTGAGTATGTCTCAAAAAGCATTTGGCTTTTCACAATGTCATGCACCTCCTCAAGCGTCACTCAGATTCACAGCTTTGAGAAATTTTGCAGGTAGCAAGCGCAGCAGTGAACATGCACTATCGGTTACGTCACTGAGACTGAGACATGACATCTGGAAGATAACTGGGTTTGACTGGCATATTTTGGATCTGATGGCCCTTGGATGCTCGTGCATTGTGGCTAAATACCCTTGAACCAAAGGCACTACGTCAGGATACATGAGGTGAGTCTATCATGACCTGGTACACTGTACATACATTTGTGTGAAATGTAGGTGTGAGAGAATGCAGATGAATGGAAAGCTTCTAGATTCATGGACAAAGCCAGAATGACATTGACAGAAAGGCTTGATCACACAGAGATGAATGCGAAGGGAGACGCTGTTCACCTTTTGTGTTGACACTCACTGCAATACTGGTGAATCTTGAAACTGAAGTCTCCACAGGATGAAGATGATTTCTGGGAGCATTACGAGCAGCGAGAGTTCGACTCGTCATGCCATCTGTTTGTGACACTGCAAACGTACATAGAGTACCGATTGAAGTCTAGGCTTGTCGGGCATGTCCACTGCTTTCTGGTATCCGCTTGGCACAGATGTGACAGGTTTGCTTTTCCTCCCGGAGTTCTTTGCCCCACCATGATTTGCTGCTCTGTCCCCAAGGGACCGGAGGCGAAGCAAGAGCTGATTGTGGTCGTGAACTGTCAAGGTCATTGCTCACAATAGCATTGACAATTGAGTAGGATGCAGGATATGGCTATGTCGTTGGTGTTTCAATGTGTTGCAAGCAGGTTGTTGGCCAATCTTAATACCATTTCGATGAGGAGATTTCAGGATTTCCACCTCGAAGCAGTTCAGAACAGAAGCATTGCCTCTTGTATGCACGCAGGGTGCCCACTGTGGGCTTACCAAACACAGTACAAGGCACTTGCACGAGATGCTCCATTTGTGACACGAATGTTTCTTTGGTCCGATAGCACAAGAATACTTGAAGCTGCAATTGCCATCTTGAGAGCAAGCAGGGGGCTGATTGCCTCTGTCACAGCCTTATGGCTGCAGGCCTTCTGGCTTGTGCCTTGTTTGAGGTTGGGATACCGCTGACGGCGTGGGTATCAAGGCACTGCCATCCTGGGCATGACTGGCAATGCAGCTTCGGCTGTGGTATTTGGTCAGGTCTGAAAAGCAAACGCATATATAGTTACAGAATGTTACAGATGACTCCATGTTTGGACCTAGGCTTCGACTGCGTTCAGTGACCTAGAATCTAGGTCCCGTAGCCACTTCTGTCCATTTCTTCCTACCACTGTGGGTGGGACCTGCAGGTCCGGGGCCCACAGTACCTCCAGGATCGCAAGACTCTCGGCTGTAGATAAAACTCATGATGTCATGGTGCTTGTGCACAAATTATGTAGAAGAAACAGGAAGAAACTATAAGTAGACTATAAGAAAATACAGACAGACCAAACAGGCAGTTCCGTATGTGTATAAGAGATAGATAGAGCAGAAGCGGGTTATTTAGAGCCGACGAGACACCTGGATTTGTTTCGGCTTGCGGCTTAGTTGAGGAAGTCCAACAGCAAAAGCCCCATGTTGACCCTGGATGCCGTGGAGCTGATCCGTGGCAGGGACAGCGGATGACAGTGGTTTCACCGGTGCACCAAACAAGAGCTGGAGACTGTTTGGGATATTCTAGAATCTAGACATCTGTAGACTCATTGAGTGTTTCCCTCAGAAGAGAGCATCCATCCCTGAAGTCATCACTACATAATGTTACATAGTGCTCTGTCAAGGAGAGGAGAGCCAGCATGAGGCTGGATGCTTGCGATATACGGCACTAATATGTGTCCAGTTTGGGGCCGGCAAGTGCGGCACATCAAACCAGTTCAGCAAACATGCTAAACCGTTTGCAGGACCTGGAAAGCTACAGCACTGGTCCCAAATGTCGATTCAAAAGCCCGCTGGCCTGCACACCACAGAACTGTTTTGTCCGAATGTGCAACCGAGCTGAGAGGCTGTCAGTTGGGTTGAAGCACCGGTCACTAGCAAGCAAGTCATGAGCACGAAAACACCTGTGAGCTTTTTGAACCAAGCACCCTAACACAGGAACCACATCCTCTCGTTTCAAACTTTGGATTTTGAGGTGCGTCAAAGTATAGGCCCTGTAGGCTTTCCACAGTCCGTGATAGCAAAGAAAGTGATAGACACTGCATGTGCTCATCCATTGGTTGGGGATTCTCTGATGACAAAACTCGAGGCAATGGCTTCAGCTTCATCATGAACTTTCGCTTGCCGGATGTGCAGCTAGTGATCATTTGGTCTCTGGCGGAGGCTTAAATGCCAGGAGAATGCCATAGTAAGATGTTGGTCATTATTATGTATTGCAACGGTTTTCTTTGACATTAAGAAGTTGCAGGAACATCGGGCCGTGTGACAAGCAGATTCCTGCAGTTCATTCCAGCATGCTTCAGTGAGCTAAATGTGAAGCCGGCCTTCGCAGGGAGTGGATTGGCTGGATACTCCACAGGGGTTGCATTTTCGCAGGCCTGAATATTTTCACACATCAACGAACAGGCTTGTGCTTGGGCGCTTGATAGCCTCAAATTGTCTTAAGACATTTGCCCTGAGTTCCTCAGATTCATATGAAGTTTGCGCTGAGATCCATTCCTTTGACATCCGTTAGCAAGCTTGATTCGATACTGCGCGGTCAGGTTTGTATACGAAATGAGTGCAGAGGAGCGCAGCAAGCGCAGCATCCTTGGCAACACTCTCTGACAGTGATATTCTGTAAATCTACAGCAAGGAATGACCAGAATTGACCACTGGAACTTCTTGGGTTGGTCATGATGCCACTTTCTTTGATATGCTTTACGAAAAAGACCATATGGCCAAACGATATGACAGATCTTCGGAGACTGGACTTGTTTGATCACTGTGTCGTCTTTCAGGCCTCAAGCTCATTGCTCGCGTGCTCGAAGGTTCATTTATGCTGAAACAGGCCGGACTTCTGAATGGTCACGAACCCCTCTCACTCCACCTGGATCTGTTTGCGTGAAGTTCCTGTCATTCACCCGTTTCATGGGGATAGATCCTGCACGTGTGAAGGGAGTTGGTCGAGTCGCAGAGTTTTTGTATGCATGCTTTCACGCACCACATTATATGAAGCTGCCCTGCGTTTTCTTCATCTCCGATCTTAAGGCAGTTGGCAGCAAGCCCGCCATCATTGGGAATCAATGCAGTGTCATGGCTGCAGTAGAGCTTCGTGATGTGGGTCGGCTCTGATGTCAAAGAGATCTTCAGCAATCGCATCCGGGAATGTTTCATGTTCAGAGAGAATGCTTTCCTCTTAGGAATACAATACTTCCAGCAACAGGACGGAATGAGGGAAGCCACCAGACACAATAATTGGAACATGTTCGATGTGTGCCCGTGTGGCAGATCCACCAGGCGAAGTTGGAAATGGCAAGAAATCTGGAAACTGCATGGAATTGATTGATATTGTTTGTCCAAGCCGAAGCTTTCTTTTGTAGTCTCCTGGGAAGATTTTATATTTTGCAGGATTGCCCGGAAGCCTCAAACCCACTACTACCTGCTAGCGATGGCCTCCAACCTTCTGCAAAAAAAAGAAACGCAGGATTGCCTGGAAGCCTCAATGGACATGGCTGACTCATCGATTGGGCGCCGCTTGCGAGGCGAACGGCACCAAATTTGACGTTTGCTTATTTCCCAAACGACTTGGACGTTGTTGGGGTGGACAATGCCATTTGAAGAAAAGTGTTCGGACCTTTGTCTGTACAAAATATATCAACATATCCTTCAAGATGTCCTCGGGAAGACAGCTCGGAAGTCATAACCAATGTCAAATCAGGGGACAAGTATCATGGCACTTCCATGCACTCCAGTGAACATCTAATTTAATTATGAACACCATTTTGGTGCTTCAAGGCGGTCCAACTTGGCAACTTCAGAATTGGCACTGGGTCTTGAGGATCGTGGATGGATCACTAAAGGATGCTGAAGGTTGCTTCGCAACCCATGGCTCGCTTTTGGACGTTCTTCAGATGTGGCACATCGACGACATATGGATCTGATATCGACAGTTTTGCGAATCACGCAGATGTAGGAAGAAACCACACCTTTACATCCCAAAGTTGGGCACTTCTTCAACGCAGTTGAGCACTTCGCGAGGAATCCTAGACGATGGGAGCTCAGTGTTGGAGCTCTACATCCTCTTGGAGGTGACAAAAGTCGGATCATAGTCGGCGTAGTCATCATTGAGAGTCGAGAGTAGCACATTTCTGACACATCTTTAGTCTTTCTGGTACAGCACACCCATGCTGCAAGATTGGATCCAAGCTTAATTTGATCCTTTTCATAGGTATTTTGATCCTGGGCAGGGCCTCCACCAGCATGAGCTTCCAGAACGGATCCTGGGAGGGTTGGGTGCCCTAAGCTGTCTTGTTGAATTGCTGCACAAAGATATTACGAGACAATGATATCAGTACTGTAACTGTTTTGACGGCTGTTGACTGCTTGTACGATCTGTCAATTTTTGCATTTCTTTGACATGGTCCTACTTCCAGAGTCTCAGAGGTTCAAGCTGATCCGGAAGACTGGGAACAAGTCTCCCAGATTCGTACGTTTCTTGTATTCCAAGGTTAACTCTCTGCCGAGTTGATGTGAGCTCCATGGCTAGATGACGGGGCAATGTCCGATGGTCAAAGTTACCAAGGACGAGAGACCAAAAGGCAGCATGCCCCTGCTTGGCGATTTGTGGACGTACAGAGCGTCATTTGCATCGTCAACGTTGCCATGGATTCCCTTAAATGTTATTTCATGTAGCTTATTGTAACTTATTGTAATATATAATACATTATATTATATTATATATTATATACAGTATATTGTATATTGCAGCATCATGCAGCGTCCTGATCTAGTAAAATTGTGTGCTCGCCAAGTTTTCGAGGAATCAAGCGACATATCGAGATACCAAAGATTTTCAAGAGAACAGCATGCAGTGGGTCGTGGGGGGCTGAGGTCTGGGCTTCATCCACGAGATTGGAACGTGCCTCTTGGCACTACGTCCTTTATCCGACGGTCCTTCTCGGTCAGAATCCTGGAAAGACCTTCACAGTTACAAAGTCATGCAAGACATTGTGCCCTTAGAGGCTTGCACTTACAGATGAGATTTGACAGGCTTGACGGTGGCTTTACTGCTCAGACCATCTGCAGTGTGCAGATGCAAGTATAAGGACTGGCAATGTGGAAGAATTGCATAAGACCTTTTCATTCTCAGAGGGTCTAAACATATCTAAAGATGCCAAGAGATATTTTGTAGTTTTGAGAGATGTTACTATATAGTAGCGATGCACTTGTTACTAGTAGCTTCTTGTTCCTAGTGGTACGGCCAGGAGCCCCTAGTAGCGTCTTTGCTCCTAGTAGCGTGGCCCTTTGCTCCTAGTAGCGTCTTTGCTCCTAGTTTCTACATTTTGCAGTTTCAACTCCCCAGGCCTTTGCTTCACACATCGAAGCTCGATCGAGCGAATCCGCTTGTTTTTGTGCACCCAGCCATGCGAGAGGTGCAAATCCTCCGTGGAGTTGGACGGACCTGCTTGGCTTCTCCTCCAGAATATCACAGAGCTAACATGATAGTCTCAGCAACGGTGGACGCACCAGCAAGGAAGGATGCATGCCATCAATGTATCAATGCATTCCTTTCTCGTTGCTTTTGTTCTTGAGTTTGTTGATCGAAGGCTATCCGAGTTGCATGTCTCACTCACATGTCAGCAGAGATCACAGCTGGCTGTTCTGTGTTGTGAAGACCAAACTGTACTGAATCCTCCCACTTGCGGCGTCCTAAGGCTCCTTTCTATGCTGTGAACTTTGGAGACAACATGGTCGGTGCGCATCCAATGGCTGGAACACTGTCAGCGTAGCAATGGCCACAAGTGCATTTTTGTGTTGCCACTAATCCAACGAAAGATGTTGAGATGCCGTACCACTGATATGACAACATGTAGGCCTAGTTGTCCATCACCGTGATCCGTGACAGCTTGGCCACAGGTGATGTTCTCACAAGCCTGGCACGACCGCTACGTGCCGGGCACCCAGCTGCAAGTAATGGTAGGACATGAGGTAAAACTGTAAAACCTTCTCAGATGCGTAAGATGGTCAACAGGTCCCTCAAAACCATCTTCCTCAACTGCTACTTGCGACTTTATTGACTCTCCCAAAAAGTTGGTATACATGAATCTTTCGGGGCCATGCTGACATCAGTAGCAAGAACACTTCTTCGTTAAGACCGGAGGCGATCAGAATGGCATGAGGTATGTAGTTTTTCTAAGAAGGCCTAGCCTGTTTTCTTTGAACCTTTAGACCATTCTTCTTTCTATTCGTTACTATCCACAGATTCCTCAGAGCTTAGGCAAACCAGAGCGCTGAACGATATATTTGTGATCAACCCAAGGATGTGCCAGCAGCCATGTGCTACCTTGGTCATGGCCTTGGTAGTTCGAACCTTCGGGGCTTGACGTTCGTCCTGAATGTGCAAAATGCTTTCACCAAGGCTCACATCATCCACAACTTCAATCTGCAATGGAGCAATTTGTGAAGAGTGGAAACACCTGTCCTGCTTGGGAACATGAAATTATCTCACCTTTGATCGCTGCATTGCCTTTTTGGTTCCGGCTGTGGCAATGTGCAAGGCGCTTTTGGGACACAGGTCAGAAGCGCAACTTGCTGAACTTGGGAAAGTACACCTCGAGCTTGATTGTGGTGATAGTAAGTACCCAAGCATGCCCCAAGTGGCTGGTCGTTCTGGCATCAGCGGTGGCCACGGCGTATGCTGCATGGTGGGATATTTGTATGGATTGGGGTCTCACCTTCGGAGACCTTTGCTTCTTAACAGGAGCACGCCGATCCAGTGGAGCTGGAGGAACCTCACACTCAAGCCCTGCAAGTAGCTTCGACGCTGGACTCAACTCACCTGTACCAGGATCACCTGTACAATCCTTTGCTGGCATGAATGTGCGAATGGGGCCTGGCAGACAAGCTGTGGGACAATATAGCCGAGCCCAGAGCGGAACTTGATGTCGCTTTTGAAATGCTCTCGGTGCTTATTGACTTGTGCTTGGTTGTAGAAGTCTGTTTGTTCCGGAAAGAATGCAGCGTTTTTTGCCGAATGTGCGGTTGCTGGTAGACAAGGGGCCGTTTCGATCCCTTGAGACAAAATAGAGCCCTAGATCGACAAAAAGAGCAGCCTTCTTAAAGGCTGCTTTCTCCTCCAACCTACTAGCGATGGCCTCCAACCTATATAATGCCGATGACCTCCACCAGGTATTGACAGAAGTGACACGCAGAAAACTTATCAGAAAGAAATGCACTTGGAACATTACATGGGTCGACAAAACACATGACACAGGTCTGGGAAAGCAGTAGTTTCACCATTTACACACCCTGCCAGACATACAGATACAAGATAGAACCTGGGCAAAAGGATGGTTCAGACCAACATGTGCAAAAGAAGCAAATTAAATAGTAATTTGGAAGCTATCTACATCTTTTGAGTTCCTTACCCTGGACTACATGCTCTGTTTTTCATGTTCAAAGGTTTGCCTTCATAATGTTGTAAGTTTAACTTCATGATCGTTTATCAATATACTGTAGTAATCTATATCTAGTAACAAAAGTAGCAGATGCTCAAATCAACCGATAAAAGTCACTGCAAAAATCACCTCGGCAATGCTACTGAGGACACTTTTCGGCACGCGTTTACTGTATTGCGGTGGTGGGTGATATTTTGTTGCGATGCACATGGATCCTGACGTTGATGCCCATCACTGTGCTTGGTGAGGTCTTGCAGTTGCGAAAAGTTGGTACGATTCTGTGGGAAGATCAATATGTCATGTGGTTCTACACCAAAAGTGCCCATTTTTTGATGTTGCAAAACCCAACCAAGCCAGGTGCAAAGGTCGAAAAGGCCAGGGTGCAAGTATGAGTGGGCCCGACTTTTTGAGGGTGAACTTACATTGTTGGGGCTACCGGGAATGAATACATTACATCACATTACGAACGTAGAGGAACGCTAACGACGCAATGGGTGATCAATACCTGTACCCAGTCTCGACTTCTATGGTCAGGACGTAGTCTTCCGTGAGATCCTACACGTCTTCATGACTGTGGCGGAGATTTTTCGCCGAAGCTTCTGGGCTATTCTGCGGATCGAGTATGAGCAGGCGCAAGGTTTCAACAAATGCATCATTGCCATGAGGGTTGAGCAATAATTCGGAGCTGATTACAGGAATAGATTTGAAGTTGAAAGACATCCACTGCTTGGAGAGTAGGAAAGACGCTTCCGTTTGGAGAGAGGAATGATCAACTTGCTAGAACTCTTGAATTTGGGATCCACATGATTGATTTGAAGTGGGGGGCGGGGGAGTGGAAGAGGGGCTGGCATCCCCCCGACATGCATGCATCAGGAAATCACAAGCATTCAAGCGGCTCCACAGCGAACACACTTGGTCAAAAGTTAAATACTGCTTCGATGTATGAAGAATAAAACGTGGGGATGATCCAACCAAAGGCTCAGTTCCATGGACGGAGTAAGAGACAATCCCATGAGAGGCCTCCTGAGCTCAGCCCTGTTTTGTCTACGTTACTAGTTACTGGTGTATGTGCGGATTAGTGCCCAAATGGCTTTGTCCACAGGTGGCCAATGCCAGTGGATATCGGGCACTTCTTTGGGTGCCAATGAAGGTGGGCCAGAAAGTGAATGAGCCAAGAGAGCCAAGACGACCTCGCGCCGGGACGGCCGGGAGCAGATCCACACAGCAAACTCTTCTCGAGTAATTAAGCTAACCGACGCAGCCTGGAAGATTTGATGATAAGGATCGAGATTTGGACGAAGTCAGGTTTCGGAGTATCACTTAGCCAGCAAAAGCTGCACAGTCTTGTGAATCTCATCAGAGTGCTTGAGCCAGCGAATACAGAAATGCCAAGTCAAGCGAGCAGCTGAAGAATTAGGGGATGAAGAGCGTTCGCAGGACTTCGAAGACTCCTTGTTTGAAAGGAAGCAGCGACAAAAGAGGCCTACGTACTTGTAACTGCGACGACTTTCACAACATATGCCTGCAGAGTCTTCTTGTCGAACCATTGGAAGACCAGTCCAAACTCACAGCACCTGTACCCTAGGCCCTAATTACGCAGCCAGGGCCATGGTTTCATAAGTCGGATCAATACCCCCCCTCCTCCCATGGTAGTGTTTGGGTTTGCGGAGGAAAGAGTTTCAATTGGATTATTTACAAAGGTTTCTAAAGATCAGAACCAAAACACAAGAAAAAAAACACGCAGGATCAAATTAATAAAGGGTTGTAGTGCAGATTATTTGGGGGACGAGCCCTTGCAGGGATTACCCTTTGTGAGCTCATCAAATGATTGGTTTTAGTTTGTCTTTACAGGAAATGCATAAACCCTGAACTACACATTTTCTGGATTTGTTTCTGGAAAACTGCTGCCAAACAACAATCACAAGAGAACTGGCAGGCTTATTGATAAAAAGGATCAGAAAAGGCTAAGCCATCGGCGAAGATTTGAGTGGTGAGTTCAAGAACAGAAATAATTGGAGATGGCAGCATGATGTATGAGCCTCTCTTAGTTAATCAGATGGCATTAGAAAACTGGCTTGGTTGTGTGGTTCGGATTAGCTCTGGGAGCATGTGGTTCCAATACCAACATACCACCAATTCATGGGAGAAATCCACCAATACGACTTTCAATTTGGGTGAATTTTCGATCGTGTTGTGGCTGGGATTTACTAGGGGAGGCTGATTAATCCTGGTTGGACATTACCATTTAGTATTCTTGTATCCTTTGGCTGCAGGTTAGGCATTCACAATCAGGAACATGTTTGGTACATGACATGTTCTGTGAAACAATTGAGAGAATTGAGTCCCTTGGTTTTGCGTGGAGTAAGATGAGTATTGGATAGAAGGAACTCCTGACATCTGTATGCTGAGTATTGCAACTAACAAGGTTTTCGAGTTGCATGCACATTCCAGACAGAACAAGCACAGTTGGGTTGCAGCCATGGGCTCCCCACCGCTGCTCCCACAGCTGCTGCCTAAGAAACATCATGCAAGCAAAGAACTGTCAACGGCATTCGTCCATCGTAGGTGACAGCAACATTGGCCAATCCTTTTGTTCTCTTTGCCACACGTCTTGATAGATGCTCACGTATTAAGCCATTGCTACATTTGCTCAAACTGCAATTGCAATGGTTGCTATGTGGCGGCATTCGTTTTTCAGAAGAGACTTCAGCCAGACTTGGACCTTGCACAGAACCTACTAGGAGCAAGGACGCTACTAGGGGCTCCTGGCCGTACTACTAGGAGCAAGAAGCTACTAGGAACAAAGGGCATCGCTACTAGGAGCAAGGACGCTACTAGGAGCTCATAATCGAGCAATGACGTATCCAGCTCAGTGAACTGAAGCATTGGGGAAGCTGTTAGTTGGATGCAATTAGAAGGCATGGCAACAACACTTGCTCCCGCATAGAGGTAGTGAAATATGCACTTTTACAGCAATCCGAACACATTGCTGCTAGTAAGTATCAAAACCTGCTAGCTTTTGTAGCTCCAGTGACTGACTGATCTCAACCGGTTAGCAGTTTGAATGGCAGTTCTGGCTGGTGATGGCTTGCTATGCCGACCACTGCTAGCTTCTGTAGATGAAGCTTTGGAGAAGTATGGGGAATCCTTAGTGCGACAGTGTGGTGCCCTGCCAGCAGTTCGGCAGAGTCCGCCTATTGCAGCTTGGCATTATTCAATCGCTGCCTTTGTTTGCAGCTAAACCAAGGATATGTCTATCAATTTCACCTCAAGGATGGGGGCGAGCGCGGCAACTTCACGCTGGATTTGAAGAATGGACGTGGCTCGCTTCGTGTCGGATATGACCCCCGGGCTGATGTATTTATCAGACTCTTGGCATCACTTTAGCTAGTGAGTGCAATGTTGCGCAGTGGAGGAGGGCACCTGTTTGCACTTTGGAGCATGTTTACGCTCGAAATACGTGCATGACATATAGCTCTTGACAGGATCCGGCTCAGGCAAATGTTGTTTTTTGTGCCAGAAAGTGTTCCAGCTAGATCCAGCTAGAGAGGTCTACCTTGTTGTACTTACAAGAAACTGTGCCGTGGCCTTTATCCAGTCATATATATAATAACAATAATGACAATACTAATATTGCAGAATTGTTTGCCTTTTCTATGGCCCTAATGCGGATGAGCGGAGGGCAAGGCGGTGATCAGCACCGACACCACCAGCTGAGGCATGCTGGATGAAGACATGGTTGCCCTGGGCAAGGGCACCTTGAGTATTTTCAATGCGCTTCGCGACGGTCGTTTGCAGATCAAAGGACGCATTCAGTTTTCTGCGGTACTTTGGCATCAAGAGAAACGGATATTTGCATACAACAAACAGAGGATCGAGCCATTATCCTTTCTGATGCATTGAGGCAAGCGAAGTGTCATGAGCAGTGGGCATAGTGGGCAGTAGGTCAAGACCCACGGCTCCGGAACGGAGTTGGGGACGTCGCTCTTCTAGTGATTGCTTTTGCTCCTGCACTTTGCTCCTGCTACTAGGAGTAAGAAGCTACTAGGAGCAAAGGGCATCGCTACTACGAGCAAGGACGCTACTAGGGGCTCCTGGCCTTACTACTAGGAACAAGGAGCTACTAGGAGCAAATTCTAGTATTTTTGGTCCCAATCCATCCTCTCAGACAGGAGATCAGCTGGCCTCGCAAGTTCTGGTGGATGTGATGCAACGCATCGAGCGAACGAAGAGGTGCGGCCCCAATCGGCAGCAGATGGTGGAGAAACACTGAGAACCAGCTGTTGAGTGCAAGTTACTTGTAGTTGCTGGAGTTACAATGAATTGATATGAATAAATCATCACGGCATCTCCGCTGTCATCATCGTCACCCCCTGGCACAATCATTTTTCTGCGCAGACCACGCTGTGTCTAGAATCTATCCTGGGGCAAGCAGGGTGCAGGAAAACTATTTGACCAGCCTCAGGCAATTATGTTATGTTTCCGATAATTAGGTAGCTTCGAGTAGGTTGGGTGTGTCGATCTTCTACAAAGACAATAGAATAGGGTCTACAAGTGAGCCACTTCAATAAGAACAAGGGCTTTTGGCTTTTGCAGTGTAGTGTTGAGTGCAAGGTGCATGTCGAGTCTGTTGACAGGAACGATGTCCCCAAAGCTGTACCTCAAAGTGACGAGAGTACGAAGATGTGGCGATTTGGCGCAGTGCTTTGCTTCCTTGTGATCGTTGTGCTTGCCATTTGCATCGTAAATCCCTGGGAGATTCACAGGTGGGGTATGACAAAATGACAAGACAAGCTATTTGTGGTCAAAAGGCTGTGTCGGATGCCGACCATTTTCTGTACTTCTATATAATATCTTCTAATTAGTGCAAGATGGTGCAACATGGAAGTTATACTGTAGGCTGTCAGATCGCCAGCAAAGCGTCGCACATTTAAGGACGGATAGTTTTGTGCGGTTGGTCTCCAGGTCTGCTGGAGGGCCTCGTGAGATGGAGATCCTGGCACACATGAGCCAAGGGAACCTTTGGAAACTCAATAACGGCGACTTGGGTTGAACGTGACATTTAAAGTGGCCAGAGCACAAGTCCCAACTGGTCGCAATTGATGTTTGTGAAGGAGGCCACGAGCACTGTGCAAGGTACAAGTCTTTCAAACTATATAAATGGTGATACTTATATAGTGTTAATTGCTTTGCACATCCGAAATCAAGACAAAAATAGTCTGAACATGTCTTCACATATCAGTGTTGGACACTGGAGGCATCGTGAAGAAGATGAACACCTTTACCATGAAGGCGTTCAAGACTCTTTTTCCTATGAAGAAGGCGACGCAGATCTCTGCCAGCTGGAACTGATGTGGAAATACTATATAAGCACCTTTCTGTTGGGTAAAGCATTCTAGACAGTGACCAGGTCCAGCCTCCTTCAGATAATCAGATAGGTGAACAATTCTGAACACACGGCCTAAACTTAAGCAATCCAGTGTCACACGTAGTGACCGGTAGTGACAGGTGTTTAGCTTGCCAGTTTTTGAGTGACAAGGCCTTGTCCAATGTTTGAGAGATGCACCAAGCTTGATGCAGAGAAGACATGCTGACAGGCGGTTGACGTGATCCCGTCCGACGTTTTCCTGGTGGGTTCTTTAGGAACCGGAACAACCTGGCTCAGCCATATCATGCACGGCTTACGAAGTGGTGGAAGCACTTTTGCTGCAATGGTACGCCAGAGTACTTGAGGATCACTAGCTTGAACATTAGGTGCTGCCGCAAAATCTGGCCATGCTCAAGTGACAAATGATTTCTTGGCTTCCAGATTGCCTTGCAGATTGAATGCCAGGGACAATCGCTTACCGCAACTCAATATTATATGGATATTTCTTATGTGAACCCCATTTGACTCGTCGTCTAAACTTTGCCTACCTCTCTCTCTATAAATATATATATATATACACAGTATATACACCTCATTTTCCCCTAACATTACATGAGTGCTTTGTTGTTGCTGTTGCATAGAAACAATTCTTGGTGCTCCTCAATTGGAGATTTGGTACCACTCCTTTGAACTTTAGGCCAACTGAGAGGCAGGAACCTTACATATCACTATCATGTGCTTGCTGAGAGAAATGTGAGGGTAATTTGTGACAGTTATGACATGTTGCTAAGGTATGTCCTTTGAGGACCAGAAACACTTTGGGGGATCCTGATCATTGGATCATAGCCATAGCCATAGCTCAAAAGCTCAACAAGATATTTCGTTATACTCGTACTAGAGCACCTATCCATCTGATGTTGTATTTGGCAACCATGAATTAACCTATCCCTAAGTAGTCATTTGTTCAAGACATGAGGAAAACCATGTTTGTACACAATTCAGCCAAACGGTTCTCAAGACAACTATCGCCTTACCATACCATGGGAGGACATTTGGGAAGTCGTTGCTTGGTATGACAGCTTGGCAGCAAAGAACGTGCTGTCCTTCCAGACGAACTATGCTCCAAGGCTCTTCATGTCTCACAGGAGCTGAAGCTTCAGAAATGAATCTGGAAGCTTTACATCCAACAACAAGTTACGCTCAAGGATGACCCATGGCTATGAACCAGACTCCGCTGCCAACCCCTGCATCCAGGATACGCGGGATGCTGCCAACTAATGCTCGCTATGTTGTGTTGATGCGAGACCCGCTGCAGGTGAGGGGTGCAAACGGTGCAAACAAGTTTAGACTTTAAAGCTTCACCCGGTGAAAGACCTGGCTGATTAGAACCCAACCGCAAATAGGTTGACACAGATCAGATCACCTAAATTGTCACCTAAATATGAACGTCTGAACTCTGGACAATTGGCTGTTTGATCTTTCTGAGAAGGTTTGCCCTGGAGGTGGTTCAATCCCAGTACGACTTCTTCTGCAATAGCTCTTGGGCTGAACTTGCAGGAGCCTTTGATTTTGATGCAAGTTTGGTTTTCAAGATCAGTGAGAAACACCTCAGCGTTTTATCGTATGCCTAGAAAGAAACAAGGAGCAGAGTGCCTAGAATGACATAAAAGGCACGGAGAAACGGCAAACATGCTGGTACTTGTAGAGCTCGGGTGACTTTCATCGTTGGACGCAAAGGGTTTCGCAGAAAGATTCCAATCTTCCGCAGGGACTGTTGCACTCATCCAGAGGTCAGTGTATTGTATAGTACGTCATGCCCCAAAGTTGTATAAATTCTAGGGTTCGCAAAGCCATCAAAGCCTTTCAACTTCGTTTTTTAAAGCGCACTGTGGTGATTTTACTCCTTTAATTGCCGTTGTGCCAGGATTGAAGCGTGCAGAGATGCACCCACTCCTTTTCACTCCCACCACCTTTGCGAGCGTCACCAGCAATGACCGGCACAGTCGTTTATTTTCTTCCACATGAGTCATGCTGGCATCTCGCAGGTATGACGGGGTAGACATGACTACTGTATAACATTCACTTGCTGTGTATTTACGCTTTTACAGATGCATACACTGCCTACAAAGCAGATACAGTGAGTGTGCCATTTGCATTTGTGCCATTTGTTTTGCAGGAGAGAATACACAGGCATTATGTTGCACTCTTGTTCATGATTGATACGCAGCTTTATAACTCTGTTGATGCAGACATGCCAAGCTGCATAGGAGTTCTGGCTGCACATCTTGTCTTGGTATACGTGCTGTTGGAAAAATCCGGAGGCGAGGAACTAGTGAGCAAAGCCTGTTGCGTGAATTGCTTCCCTGCTTTATTCTCTCAAACTCTACACTAGAGTCACTAGAGGGAAAAAAACAACTAGAAGGAAAAAAGAAAGGAAGTAAGAACGAAAGCAAGGAAGGAACGAAGGAAGGAAGGACAAAATAACATTACCTAAGGTTTATAACTCAAAATTAGGAAAACAAAGACAGAGAAAAGTAACATGAAGGAAAAACGAGAGAGAGAGAGAGAGAGAAAGAAAGAAACACGCACAAACCAAACCCCTGCTTGTTTCAGATACCTGCCTTTGGCAGGTCCTTTGGATCACCTACGAGGACACGGGAATTCAGAATACATTGCATACATTTGGTTGTTGTTTTCTGATGCACAGCATTGTATAGAATAGAGCGAATTGATAATTTGTTGCATCTTTTCAATGGTTGCTATATAGTTATAGATAAATGCATGTTGCTACCAAGCGATGACCGGTTCAAGTCAGAGGACTTTGTGGATGATCCAGCTTCGCAGCATCACGTCAGCATGGCTATATCCCACAGGGTATGTTCACACACGCGGCACACATCCAAAGGCCGAGTAACCTCCTCAGTTCTGGGTATTACACAATTTAATGTCACATACCTACAACTTATAGGTGACATTGAAAGCAATAACATGACGATGCTCCAATACCACAAAAGACAAGTGACAGGACACAACAGATAGGATAGCAATAGCTGAGGATTCGGATGCTAGGCAAGTTTCTCCAACATCCTCCAGGCCATGTTGACTTCACGCTGATTCCAGTTTGCGCTCGTGAATGTATTAGCACCAGCTTCTGTTTTTGCAAGCACCTATGACATGATATTGCCGGTTACTGTCAGTGGCCTTTTGATAATTCGCTGAAGAACGAAGGATTGCACAGGTACATCCATGCAAAGCATCATCAGCTGGAGCTGCATTGCTTCAGAATATGTTGGTGAGTGACCAATCAGTGCTGGAGCACCCCACCCCATTTGACCAAATCAGATTCCCAGGCGAGTGAGTGACCCCAGAACAGCCAACAATTGACGAATCACAATGGCCCATTCTTGTGACGACCAGTTTCCAGCAGGAACTGCAATGTAACAAGTGCATCGCTACTAGTAGCTTCTTGTCTTGTTACTAGAAGTGTCCTTGCTACTAGTAGCGATGCACCTTGCTCCTAGTAGCTTCTTGTGACTGTACTAGGATTCAGTGTTTCGCGCGCGGTTGTGAAAAGTGGTGGAGCCAGCATGGTGTGATACAGAAATCCTGCACAATGATGCAGTGGTAGGACTGGTAGGACAGCTGTATGAGTTGGAGCAACATGTTTTGAGCAGTGACTGTTTGGGCGAGACATTCCCCGTGGAAGCAAAGGAACTGTGCTCGGCTGTCCTTCCAAGTCCTTCCCACCCTGAGAGGCGCCGAACTTCTGAAGAAGTTGGTACACCAGAGCAGTAGAAGCTTTATGCTGGAGTAGCTTGGACAAAACCATTTTGTTTTGACGCCCAGGGGGGGTAGGCCGCTAGAGGTAGGTAGGTAGCTACAGCTAGTAGCTAGGTAGCTAGTAGCTTAAGTAGCTACTACTTAAGATAGCTCACGCTTCTTCAAGGAAGCTCTTAGGGCGGCGGGGGAAGCTTCCTTGAAGAGGCGCTCACACTACAGTAATGATTTGGTTCCTAGATTTTAGGGTGACTTGACATGAGACGCACGCAGCCCAGCCCTCTTCATAGTTGTCCTGCAAGCTGCACACAATTGTTATTGTGGACAGTACAATTAATTACAACAATAGACTTCCCCGTAGTAGAAAAGTATATTTTTTTTTCTGCAACAATAAACCTTTAGAGGTCTTTAGAGCAATATATTGTTATATATATATATATATATGTGTAACAACGCAAGTATTGCGGATTCTTTTTGGAGAAAGCATGTGTTTTATCATTGATTATCATTGCATTTTTTCGTGAGCCAACTTGAGCAATTATTGGCTCAAATTACGCTAGTAATGCAGAGTTTTTTCAGGTGGAAAACTTAAGACCTAGGTTTGTTTTTGTATTGTACGGTGCTTGCCAGTATTGGTGGATTTCTGTCGGAGAAAAATTGGCTTTGTATCGTCTGGTGGTTTACTCATGTAACATGGTAGTGTCAACATTACTGTGGGACATGCGACCTGCTGGAGGACATAGCTCAGAACTCTCAACCAAACTGTTGACTTTCATTGATGGTCATTCCAGCTGAGGCACGAGTCCAAATTTGACTGCCATAGTTTGCTCGATCAGTTCGACGTGTTCCAACTGAAAGATGGAACCTTGGAAAGTTGGCTGCGCCGATATGCATTCACTAGCGGCAGCCATGAGTTTCTTACGCTCATTCTAATTCAAGACGTGTTGCTGCATTTGTTGCTTGGAATTGACTTGAACAGGAATACAACAAGCAACAACAACAACAACAACAAGCGAATACCGTCATTGATTTCCAGTTCTTTTTTTCATGGCTGGCACTTTACCGCTGACATGGTTGGAAAGTTCATTTAATCTTTGCTAGAATCTAGAATCTGAACGCATCCCGGCTGTTCCAGCTTGTTTCCACCAGCTCGTCAGAGGTCAGCTACGTGATGCCTCCATCTAGCTCCTGTATTATTGTTCATGTTTGTTCTGAGGATCCCGCGCTAGGTTGCCACGGGTTGCCGATGATGCTTCAATGCAGGCAGGGCGGCAGGACGTGCTCACAAAGCAGGAAGTTAGTATTGCAGATGGGTGTGTTTTCTTGGCCCAAGCATTGCATTAGTGGTACAAGAGCTGACTTGGACCCACGTCAGATGCAGTGCTACAGGCTTCGCACCTTCTCATCCTTGACATAGCTTTTTGGGGAGTGCAGGGAGGCAATATGATTATCATGATTCATCATCGTCAGGTGGACTCTCGCATAGTGCAACTGCTGGAAGTGAGGTGGACCAGGACGGAGGGAAACTGTTCTCGTTAAGTGGTTTATATAAGTACATGGATTCTTTTCATGATGCAAACACACCAAAATTCAAGTAGAACAATTATTTGCCGATCAATTTCTTCACTGTCACTGTTGCTGATCATTTTGTTCACATATTCCACACTCTTAGTGAAATCTCCCCACCTTCCCTCCCTCCCTCCCTCCCTCCCTCCCTCCCTCCCTCCTCCCTCTTCGCAAGTTCGACTCCGTCCTGTCGTCGCTCTTTGGCATGCGGTTAGCGTTGCGTATCTTGCGGCCGCACTCGCTCACTCTCACTGTCTCACTGTCTCACTGTCTCACTGTCTCTCTCTCTCTCTCATCTCTCTCATCTCTCTCATCTCTTTCTCATCTCTCTCATCTCTCTCTCCTCTCTCTCTCTCTCTCTCTCCTCTCTCTCTCTCTCTCTCCTCTCTGTCTCTCGTCTTTCCGTCTCTCTTCTCTTTCTTCTCTCGCAGGAGGATCCGGGCAAAGAGCCACATATAAAGGACTCTTCACCCCTGCCTCCAAAAAGAGCGCCGTGTTTTTTCCTACCTCGCTGCCCTCCACTTTCCCATTCTAGAGCGCTAGCTTTCGCACCCCCCCTTGGCCTCAAGTTGAGATCACACAAATCCTTGAATTGAGAATTTATAATTATTTGACCCACCCAGAAGCAGAAAAGCAGCCTCAAATCGTTTTTGAATTGTGTCAATGTGTGTCCGAATCTTCATGAACAAGGACCTGACACTGGAGGACCCATGCTTTCGTGATTGTCCACAAGGTTGTTTCGGACTCAACCTGAAAAGATTCGCACACCTGTATGCACGCCCCATATTACATAAGCACAGATACCTATGAACCACATCATTATAACGATTTGCAATTCTCCCTTCTGTTGAATAAGCACAGAACCCTCCCATGGTGGCAGGATTGTCACGCCAGTCACGGGCTTTAAGAGCTATGCTGAGATGAGGACTGCCATCCAACAGCGGGCTCTACCAGGAGACAACGACACGATGGTTTGTCGGGAGATCAGAGACAATCAGGTGTTCAGATACTTGGGATTCTGATGGATTCTTTAAATCAGTGCTCTTTTTTGGGGGTCAGTGTAGGGACACAGTCACTACACTTATTATACCCCTCGTAGATTGCGGAATGGTTCTCAAGCAACCCACTACTGCAGGTGAGCTGGAATGAAACCCAGACATTTGTTATGTCACTAGTCCTCCCATATCCTTCCATCATGTAAAGCAGGGGACAAGATGATGAAGCGTTTTGGCCATTGGGCCACTCAATCCTTGCTTGACGTTGTTTTCCGGCGCAAGAGTCGAGAGCTTGACCTGCCCCACGTGATTTGTGGACGATCTGCAGATGGGGGGCTAGATCAAAAAACATGTTTGCTAGGGACGCTTCTCTCTGATCAATAAGTTAGTGCCGATTACATAGTTGTTTTTATGTGTTTTACAGGGCCTTTGAGGGGGACAAGCTGCTGGGACTAGCAGGGAGCTATCCCTACAAAAGTTTGCTTTGCGCGGTCTATGCAGGAGGAGCTTATGGTTGGACTCAGTCGGGTAGCAATGCCACCTCGTTTCTTGGTGGGCAGTTTGCGACAGAGAAAATCATACTGCAAATTCTGTTCAGATGCGCTCCTTACGACTTTTGCCCCCGCCTGCTCCATGCAGGCATTTGCTCTTTGTGATGCTCCTCCTGCTTGGTTTACTAGCAGCATTCATCGGCCACTTGGGTGCAAATCAAACTTGCCCCTAGCTCTGCCATGGCTGTTTAGACCCACGATATCCTGAGGTTTACAGCCGACACTATCCAGGTCGCTCGCAACCAGGCACGAGCACCCGAATATACCAAAATATTTTGGCTGAAGAAGCATGACTGTTTTCTACTACAAGATTGAATCAACTGAATTAGCACGGCACCAGCCCGCTCGCGTTTCAATCCCAGCCTATGATGGAGGTGCCAGGAGCTCTATCGTTCTACTGTGCAGGGAAATAGACGTTCGATTGTTTGGATCGGACTGTGACTACGCAAGAAGTTCACGAGGCTTTGGATACTGGCGCGAACACACTATCGACGAACAATGAGCAGCCTGGCAGTGAGGGAACTGGGTTTATATTATAGGTATAATATGCGCTGTCCACCAACGTGTAAGTCGTAAGTCATCAGGCTCCCAAAGCATCCCAAAGCCATGTTTTCATTTTCCCCCAAGAAGAAGCACTGCATTGACTCCTGACTTCTGACACTGCATTTTTGTGATCAAGCCTAATGGGCTTGTTTTGACATGTCTTGACAACAAACCAAAGCATCGACGTGATGTCGATTGCTCAATCAGCCCGCCAAGGCCATTTCTCGGACTCAAAGACAGGGATGAAACACTTTGCAAGCATTCTGCATGCTGTGCGAATATGTCAAGTCTTTTTTCAATATCACAAAGCACACGCATACTCGAAAGAGAGTGGTTGAAAGGCTTGGATGCTTTGTGAATGTTTGAAGTTCATCATTGAACTCCATTGTGTACTGCTTGCTTTGCTGAGAGCACAATGCTCCATGCCCTGGAAAGGAAGATGGATCCAGAGATAAAGGCTGCAAGAACCGGAACCGGCTTTGTGGTGTAGCCGCAACATGCCACAGTGCTTTTGTGTATATAGACTCCTCACATTGGATGGCATCGAATCGGCTCTAAACAAGAGAGCCTTTTCGTGGTCGTCTGCCAGATGAAAAAGGATCAAGACACATAAAGACGACCGGATTCGGACTGATTGGTAGTCATATATAGTTGTCATCCTGCCAGGCATTGGTATTTTGAAGACCTCCATGGGCCATGGACTCCATGTGTAACGACATTTATATTCATGTGAAAGGCTGTTGTGGTTGGAGACAACGCAGGACGATACACGAATGCATGACATGATTAAAACAATCCCTTTCGTGAATGTTTGCATGGATGGCTGCCGAGGAGCGCGGGTGTGGATGCGTAGCAGCTTGCAGCGTGAGCGCAAAGGTGAAAAAGACAACACATTTCTCTATGGGCTTCAGATTCATTAACTGTAGGGATGCTGGCAAGCCCTGCAGGAAAGGAGCACACCTTTCAATGGGCCTTGTTTATGACGACATCCTCTTGATTTTAATCGCCTGTTTGCGCTCTTCGCCGTGCCGTGCCCTTCGCAGGCACTGGTGTTGGCTCCAACGCGTGAGTTAGCCCGACAGATCCAGTTAGAGGCCTGGAACCTTCATAACCGAGGAAGTAATGAGTAATGTTGTGCAGAGAAAGCGTACGTTTTAGGGTAGTGTTTCGAAGCGACGTGGTATTGAAGAGATGACAAGAACAAGACCAATATGATACACGGACTGGTTAGCCGCTGGTTTGCCTTTGGTCTGTCGGACAGTCTGTTAGGCCCTACGTTTCGGCCGCTCCTCTGGAATCCTTTGCTGCTCCTGCACTGGGGGTGAGTCCAAGGGCGAACAGTTGGAGGAGGGGGGTCGGAGGGGGCAAAACGGGTGTGCATGTTGAGAAGATTGAAGTAGTTCTTGCAGGAAAGAATTCTTGTAAGAACAAAAAGTGCAAGGAACAGTGCAGTCCAAGAGCCTATAACGCGCTTTGAGCGCTTGCCAGCTTGCTCCCGCTTGCCTTTTGCCCACACACATTCTTGACACTATTGGCATGCGACATTCTTCTCCTGAAATCCTATGGCATGCCATGGCATTGACTATTCCTCCATTGATCCTATTCAGCCCACCCAACCGCTCAGTGGCTGAAGCGCGGTTGCCACATCATTGTGGCCACGCCCGGTCGCCTCAACGAGGCTTTCGAGAAAGTCCGTGGACTCTCATAATATGTTGCCTAGACAGCCTAGACAGCCAGCTAAGAATGCTCTAGACTCTATACAGCCTTTATTCATGGTGTATCAAGGTGTTATTTGTCACTCTGAACCCAGTCACTCGGCGATACCCTTACGGCTAATAATCGGCTACCCCAATAAATGTGCCAAAACAGCTTTCCCCCTTACTGTATCATCAGCATTATGACGCATCGCCCACTACAACACTACAAACAGAGATGAGATAACAGAGCATGTGTGCAGATCCAAAGCACGAGTTCACTGATTCACCACCCGCAGTGATTCGTGTGAACAACCTTTGTGGGCCAATCGTTCGCACAGTTCTGCGAAAAGAAGCAAGTGTGGCTCGGGCAAATCTCCTACTTGACGCTTGATGAGGCCTGGCTCGCCGATCAGGAGAGGTCTTCACCCCTCATGAAACAAGCCAGAAGTACCGGGAGTGGCAAAAGTAGAAGGCGCTTGCCCAGCTTGCCCTCTATGTTTTTTGGGCCACTTTCAAGGTAGATGGTGCTAGTTGAGAGAATGAGAAGCGTGCTTCAAAAGACATAGCTTCGCTGGGGGAGCCCATTTCCAGTTGAACTTGTTGTCAATCCAAGGCCTGAGGGAACAATGGTGGCTGCGTGCGGTTATGGGGGTCCAACCTTGCTTCCTCACGACTAGTGACTAGCGAGATTGGATTCTTCAGCTTGGCACCTGTCCACGCAAGTGACACAACTCTTGAGAGTGTCCAACTAGAGGGCAGACATGAGCAGGCAATAACTGGTAAACAACAGGTGTGAAGCCACCTGCGCTGTGATTCGGCGAGACACTATAGACATCTACCCTACCTTACCCTACCCTACTCTACCCTACCGTCCCTACTGCACCTATCCCACCTACCTTACCTATCGTACCTACCCTACCTACCCTGACCTACCTGACCTACCTACCTACCTTCCTACTTACCTTACCTTACCTTACCTTCCCTACCCGACCCTGCCCTGCGCTGCGCTGCGCGGCCCTGCCCTCCACCCAAACCCAGATTGTGTACAAGAAATATCCACAGGCTTGCTGAAGAACAATAGTTCGAAGGTTGCTTTCCATCTATCCATGAAAATCCTAGAAACGCCCAACTCAAAAACACAATTCGGGAGTGGATGAATCATCCGCAATTGAAATCTTGGCCGGGTCACAACCGACCGTCGACCGTCCCGTCTTCAGGCGGACCGGATGCTGGACATGGGCTTTGAGCCGCAGATCCGGCGGATCATTGAGGTGCCGGGGTGGATGAGTGGCACGACATGGCAAGACTGGAGAGATTCACAGAGATCCGAGATCACTTCACACTGATCATAGAATAGAATACGGACTACACAGCTTTTCTCAGCAAGGGTGTTAGAGGTCAACTGGCAAACTTGTAATCAAATGGCTACTGCCCGCAGCCAGGCCTCAAATCCATTTTTCGGAACATGAATACATCTCACCTCGCCCAGGAATGCCCACGGGAACGGCAAACCCTACTTTTCAGCGCTACCTGGCCAAAGGCTCAACCTAACCTGACTCAGTCATGTTGCTTTCTGAGGGAGATCTGATCTCCAGTCATACTTATCAGAATCTAGAGTGCACATCCCTTGAATTTAATGCTGGAACTGAGCACCGGAGACTGGATGGAAGGACTTTGAGACAATCACAAGACCAGCACTTTTAATATGTTCATTGCTTGCACCTGTTGTTCTTCTGCTTTCGTTCTTGTGCCCTCCAGCTCACGGTTGGAACGGTCCTGCCTTTGACGCAATGGTCGAGCTGACTTCTTCTACCTGGAATGCTTGGCAGTGATGTGCTCTTTCTTTCCAACATTCTGCTGTTTGCATCCTCGTGCCAAGATACCCACGATGCCATAGAGTGTGGAGCATGGGCTGATGCCGGGGAATGTGAAGTAAATCCAGGCTTCATGAAGGTGTGTGTGGGCATCAAGCAAATGTTTAATGAAATCACAGATGGCCAAATTCACAGATAGGTTTGTTCATTTTTTCATATTTGTTCTCAATCCGGGCTTGGCATCAGGCACAAGGGTTGGTACTGGTACGCTTGGCTGTAGGTGAACTGCGCCCAGAGTTGCAACTCGTGTGACTGGTCTAGTAAGAAGTGCTCACGCCATGGATTGTCGGCCTTACCACCGGGTGAAACCATTTCCACATTGTTCCGACGAGCGAAGATCTATGCGAGCGACGTGTTGTACGAAGATCCATGGATCTTGGCCTTTGAACACTTCCTGACAGCGGAGGAGAGAAGCGTTGGTTATCGTTGGTTGTTGTTTGCCCCCAAACAGTTTACTGTTGGAGTTCTCTCTTAGGAAAAAGTAGCTGGCCACAGCCTCTGGCCGCGCCGGTGAACTCTGTGTCCGGGCGTTGTCCTCCTGTTGTCCTCTTGTCCTTCTTCTGGTGTGCAGCTTGGCCACGGCTGCCAGCCGATCTCCAGACCTTGTTCTCCTGTTGCCCTCTTTTTGTCCTTTGTTTTTTCCTCTTCTTGTCCTCCGGCTGTCCTCTTCTTGTTCTCCTGTTGTCCCCTTGTTGTCGTTCTGCTGGTGTCCAGATGCCTGCATGGCAGTAGACATGACACCATGACAGCGCGCGAAGCACCGCCCTCAAGCGCAATCAAAGGGTCCAATGCGAGAAAATCAAGAAAAGAATTGCACACGTGCAAGCCTTCTGTGTCACCTACTGTAGTCGGAAAGTGTCAGCCGGCAAGCACGAAGACCGCAGTACCGCAGCATGGCCACGTGGCACCTGTCAGCATGTAAACATGACAACACGCAAGCGTGCGCTACAAAGCAGTGAGGCGCTAGCAAGACAACTCCAGAAAGCAACCCCAGAAGCCGATTTCCTTTCCTTGTCCTCTCCTTGTCGTCCTCTTGTCCTGTTCTTGCGGGGTTCTCTCGTAGGAAGACAGAAGCTGGCCACAGTGTCAGGCCGCGCCGGCAAGCCCTGTCCGGATGTCCTTCTTTTCTCTTCAGGTCAGTCTTTTTGGTCCAGTCCTCCTCATGTTCTTCTATTGGCTTCTTGTTGTCCTTCTTCAGGTTTTCATTGGCAGCGGCTGCCAGCCTATCTCTGGTCGTATCGTCGTCCTGTCTTTCTCCTGTCCTCTCTTCCTTTTTCTCCTCTTGTTCTCCTCTTGGCATGCTCCCCTCATGTTGTCCTTTTGGTGTTGTCCGGTGACAGCTTGTCCTTCTTTTGTCCTCTTGGTGTGTTCGTGTTGTTTTCCTTCCCTCATCCTTTTGTCCTCTGTTGTCCTCCTCATGCCCTCCTCTGGTCTTTCTGTTGTCCTGCTGCTGTCGTGCTGTTTACATTGCTTTCCGAGGCAGGGGCTGAGGCTGCGGCCGCCCACCACCACAACAACAACTCATGCCGACAAAGCTGTTTGGGGTCTGTGCTGGCACGTTTTGGAGATTGAACCTGGCTCCCATTTGTTTAGCCCATAGAGGCTTCTGTGTCCAGGTCTACAATCTTTGCATTGTAGTTCTGAGGCACCCACCCTTCGCTTGTTTGGCAGGAAATCGCTGCTTTCAAACGCCACAGTACAAATTTGGTGCGTTCTCTGGCTGGCCAAGAGGAAAGTGATGATCGAACCTCCATGCAGATGTGGTGCGTGACAGATCCTTGCCTCAGCCACTTGTCCCAGGAAGCACCTTAGGAGTTCAATGGCATTGTTTCACTTGGTTTTTTGTATATATTTGGACTATTTAGCGATCTTTTCCAAGCTGCATGATTGGGTGAATCATTTGTATGCCTCAGTGTATCTTATCTCAATTGACTCATGTGAAATTCGGATTCTTGGGGATCCTAGAAATCTTTGGTTTCGATTTGAACATGAATGCAGGCACATTGGTCTTAGGGGGTTGAGCTTGTCGTTGGATACAACAAAGAAATTGGAACGACAAGATCCAGTCCTGCGATTCAAAATTTGGGTTTGATGTTCCATACACTGTGCCAGGTGATCCTTTGATCGAGAAAGTGCACCAGCGAGTGGTAAACATCACGGGGATCCCCAAAGAGCATGCAGAGCCTTGATAATATATAAGTCAGTCAGTCAGTCAATCAGTCAGTCAGGGAAGCCTTTCAATGTTTAGAACAGGCGTGGTTCACAGGGAGGTCCCCAGATACAGCTACTGTTTTGTTTAAAGTTATATAACATCAATGTAGATGAACACCATCCACAAGGATAGTAAAAATCAGGTTGGCAGCTGCGTTTCAGGGGTCACAGAATCCACCAAGCGCATTGAAGAACTGTATAGACTGGACCTTTTTGATCTTTGTTTGCACTGAAATGTGTTTTGCATTGTTTTGCATATTTTGTCTACCTATGGCTTTGAGTTGATGGAGACTCCACAACCGTGCAATCATACATAAGTGGAATTTGAACACTGGCTTTTGCAATGTCAACATTATTGTTCGTTGCCGACCTTGAGGAGTATTTCCAGATTGTCCAATATGAGCCGGGCCAGTTCTATCGGCCACATCAAGACCAAAACAGCAAAGCCGATTCTTTGGTTGGCGTACGGCTCTCAACATTCTTTCTCTACTTGCAAACTCCAGAAGCAGGTGGCGCCACCTATTTCCCGAAGCTCGGAGTGAAGGTGTGAAAAATGTCAGCTGGTTGTGTCAAGTGCTCGAAGAATTATTTGTTTATATACAGTTTGCTAAACGTATGGTGGGTAATCCATTTTGGGGGTTGATATGAGACCTCCTTTGAAAGTCGAAGGTGCAAGCAGAAGCGGGACTTGCTTTGTGGTGGCCCAACGTACGAGATGATTTGAGCACTGACGAACGTACAGAGCATGAGGCACAAAGTGTACATGAGGGGACTAAGCTGACTGCAAACCTTTGGCTGCATGAGTATGATTTTCGAACACCTTTTACTTTTGGATGCAACCTGGATGAAGTGGGAGCATCGATACAGTCAGATGAATTGTAGCTGTTGTTTTGCATCGTGACTGACCTTGACAAGCTCCAACGGTTGGCAAAACAGCATAACCATGCATAACCTGATGGCTCTCTTGGACGACTCTGGTCCGACTGTGTTTTTTTGCAACTTGGAAATGTTCAGGGTCATCAAGGCATAAACCGCCGATGCAACCTTCTTCGAGCAGGATCGGAGCTCCAACCACTGGTGGATGCGTGCGGATATGTGCGATGATTGCTCATTTGGCTATTCTAGGTGTAGACTCCAAATGACTGCACGAGGGTTGGGCTCACACTTCATCATTGTTTAATTGTTTATATATATATATATATTGATCTGCAAGGGGCGGTGGGCGGCAAACTTTTTTGTCAGTCAGAGATGTCACATCAACTATTGTACAAATTGGGTGCGAATTTCAGGAGCATCCAATCGCACTTTGGTAGTTCAAGTGAATATGGAGCCATGTAGCTCCTAGATCTGGCTGCAGCATCAAGGCAGCTAAAAGAGAGTTCGCTGCTGGTTGGGCGTCGTGTGGTCCGCTCTTGGTGATATTTTTGGGCTAGAAACCTGCTCATGGAACGTGTGACGTGCATACTGCTGCCGAATCTTTCCTCGCTCTCGGGTCATCTCTGGCATAAGTGCAGAATCCAGCACAACTGACATCTCGGCTCAATGTAGCGTTGTAGCTTTCAGCCTCATGACTCATGCCTGCAAATCTTGCCAGCAGAAAATAGGATTGCCAAACCAGCAAGCAGGTGACAGATCTCAATCAGGATGGACGTTTGTTGCACATAATCAGAGCCAGCAGTCTAGTCCACAACAGATTGGTCCCAGGCAATGAGAGTTTGCCAATTTGTGACAGCGCACAAGAAATACAAGGAACGACAACATAGCAGTCCGTCCCGAGTTTTGATCGCTCGGCCCTGTCCAGTACCTGAGCCTCATGGCAAAACGGCAAGGTTTTGACATTGGGAACTACACAAAATGGCAGGATTGTTCTACCTGTGGGGTGTGCCAAAGTGAGGGTTGCCGGTGGTGTAATCGGCTCCCTTGAACATGACACCCTTCACGACATGAGCAGCCACTTTTAGTTTTTCTTTGCTAAACTAGTCTGGCAATTTGTTTGTCCAACATCAGTATTCGCTGTGAACGAGATAGGGCCCCCGCATAATAGATATCCGATAGAGTTTAGCATAGCTTACCAATAAATGTTGCCGCTCGCGTAATGTATTGAAAAACAATTCGGACATATTTGGACGGCATGATTCGGACCGTGCTCACTCTTGATCGAGGTTTGCCTTTTCAACAATGGCGTCCAAGACGTGGGGTGCTCAGTACTGTGAATTCGGGTTGCTGCAACACCAGATGATATGGTGGACGTAAGAAGGTAAGCTGTCCTAGCTAAGAGAGACTCGTAGCTCAAGCTACTGTACTAGGGACTGCCACGCTCAATAGAACCCTTCGCATGATTGCCCAGATCTTCAGGGAAGCTTGACCTGATCTTTTCTTCGGCTACGAAACTATCATGAACTATCTCTCTTTCGATATATAAATATTATATATACTGTATACTGTATACAACAATTAGCATGCTATCTAACTACAGTATGTATACTGTATACAAGATGAATACGGATTCTTACTGTACAATGCATCATTTGGCTGTGCATTTGATGATGCAAGCATGTTACATTCGCCTTTGACAGGCCAGTTGCAACTGGTGTGGCCTTGGGCATAGCTGCTGCTGTGGGCATGGCGACCCAGCTTGATCATTTTTGAGCAAGGTGAGCACTTTGCGCACGCACTTGCTGGCTCTTGGCACTCTCTTGGCATCATTTAACTGGAGATCAAATATGTTACCGCGACTGTCATCCTATTCTGCACTCCTCAAAAGCTACATCTCTCTTGCATAGGCTGAAACAATCTTTAAACCCGATTAGGGCCAGCACGGAGCGGACCAACGTTTGGAGGGTGAACCTACTTGTGCTTAATGATTCAGCTGAGGATTTATCGTGATGACAACCTGCAACGAACCTCCAGATCAAGCAGTTATGTGCACGTTCACACATGTACGCGCAGAATCTCATGCTTTGACCGCAGTATTGGCTCAACATCAATTGCTTGTGTGAAGAGATCCAATGGCTTGGAGGACTGATCATCTATTCACCACTTGTCGATGTTCCATTTCTTACATGTGCTTGAATGCCATCGCGTTATCGAATCCGGAAGCTATCAAAATATTGCATCAATACTTCGACAGCAGGCGCTGAGCTGTCAGGGAGTTGCTACTGGATGAGCAGATGCACAAAACATGTCCTTTTGCTCAGAAGTTAGGTTTTGGAATGTTTTAGAGAATTTCACATTGGTGGCACAACGGTTTGCTTGGCAAAGGTTGGTGCCATTTATTCAAGGCCAGTCTTGAAGCCGTCGTGTGGATTCACATCAGCAGGATTCTGCTTTTGCTGGCGCCCACAACTGGCTTTTCCCATGATTTGCATATCAGGGTCAGGACCTCAATTTCAAGCAGGGGTCATATCGAAGGCATTGTTCTGTGCGTAGGACACATGTCATGTGTCAATGAGTCAAGATGGGAGGTACGTGACTTCTCAGCGTTGAATTTAGCATGTGGCTGGTGCGAGTTGGTGAGCCAGCTCTTGGCTTCCAAAGACCCTGTCAAGTGCTCTACAGAAGTCAATGTGGTCAGCCTCTAACAAAACCAGCAGACACATACCACAGTGATCACTTGCCAACGGAATTCTAGCGAGATTGATCTATGCCGTAGCTGCTAATTGAGAGGTCCCACTGGAGGATTGCATTCTTCTCAAAATCGTGGAGAAAGCAAAAGCATGTTCTTTCCTTCTAGCAAAACCTTGCACTGCTCTCATCCCGCCAAGGACAACATTTCGATACCCATCCCACCCGGTTTCACTGTGTCTTGGCCAGACAAGTTTCAATCTTTGACGAGTTTTGTGTGTGTTTCGCAGTGCTTTTGGAGTCACCAAGAATGAAAGGATCTGTACAAGATTTAGCTGAGAAGTCTTTCCTTGGGCTGTTTGCCAATTTGCCACTTCAGTACCTTCGAACATTTGGATTTGCTTTGGAAGTATCCTTCCTGTGATCCTTCTGATAGTCTCTCTTTTCATCAAGAAATCTTTGTTTGGGGCCACAGGCTTTGTCGCCGTCCTTGCCGGGCAAGCTTGTTGCTGGGCATCCCAGTGTGGACTACCATTGCATATCACCCCAGTGTGGACTCCTTTTTGCCTCAGACACAGTTGAGAAATGTTGAGAATGGCAGTGGAGGGAACAAGATGGAACAAGGGCCTTTTCAGAAGCCTTTGTGAGAGGAAGTGCATTTCGACACTTAGACTTCAAGGACGACCTTTAGTTTCTGCAGCAGGTCGCAAAGGCTAGGTAGTGATACATTGATAACAGAGTCCTATCATATCAAATGACACCTGGGACCTGCAGACGCTCTCTAAGCAAAATACTGCACCTTTGAGGTGACGAGTTTCGAAGCAACGCCCTTCATTGGCAAGAATGGCACCGTGGCAGAACAGGATGTCCGGCATTTTCTGTGTGGTCCAAAATCTCAAGATGCGTGAGTATTCGGATAATGACACTGCCAGTTGTGCGCCATTGAGTTATATATATAATATATAGCTATATAGCATATAGACGATCTTAAAGGCTTGTTGGATGGGCTGGACATTTGAGGTGTCTTCATGGCTGATGTTGGCAAGACCTCTGGCCCTGCGCAGGACTTGTGGTTGAACGGGTTGTTGGTCGCACGAGGGCTGAATAGTTGCAATGACTGGACGATGCTCAGGAGATCTCAGGAACTGTAAAGCAGTATGCTGGAAACATATTCATGTTACAGTATATGGGTGGCATATGCCGAGCGAACAGTGGGATTACAAACAACATGCAGCCATGCAGCTGCTGCTGTTTGCCAGCAATCAGGGTTTTTCAGCAGCAAACATGTTGCAATACGTAGCAGTTTTGGGCCAGAAACATGGATCCTCGGTTTATTCGGGGTAAGATGAGGAGTTTGGAATAGTTATAGTGCTTGACAACCTGCCAGATCCATGCCCCAGCAGCCAGAAGAAACTTAAGAACAAGGGTGTTGACCAGTCGTTGGTGAATGCAGAGGAACTCCCGGGAAGCAATGCGATTAACTGGCCCAATAGAGCCTTGCCTCCAATATTAGGGATTGGTGTTTGTGAGAAAGAGCATACAATAGTATAAGTATATATAATATATATATATATCTGGCGGGCTGTTGGAAGATTACTCCAAGTCTAACAGTATCAATTGATTTGTGAGTGAATGATGCTTGCTCAGTAAATTCTAAAGAGATCCGAAGGGTGAGCGCATAATCAAGACCAAGACAAGTGAGTTGCTTTTGCTACACCACCAATTCCAGCACCTGGTTTGTTAATGGTCCTCCAAGGCATCACCGTGGTTGGAGCGGAGGTCTTTGGCTTCCCAGCGGTGGCTTTGGGTGATGGCTTCCTCGTGCCTTCACACACCACAGGTGGTGTTTGGATCATGGAGGCGCAGCGGCGATCGCCAGACACCACAGATCACCGGAAATGACCACTGATCCTGATACATGGCCTTACAAGAAGCTACTAGTAACAGGTGCCACGCTAGTAGTAACAGGTGCCTTACTAGTAGGAACAAGAAGCTATTAGAAACAAGATCCTGATACAGTGTAATAGATCACCAGGACTTGCCAGAATGCATGACATCTACTGTCATCCCAAAGGTCCTTATTGAGATCTATTGAGACACACCAAGGCACCACGTTGAATTCTCATCACTTTGACCCCCGAGCCATTAGAATCCAATGTGTCTGCAGATGTCCTTTTTCTCTCTGGACAGTATTACAGAGAGATGTGAGGCATAGGGTCTCAAATAGCGAGCATATCAAGTCACCGTGTAATTTTGTGATGTGTGACTTGCTGGGAGGTTCTTCCAGTACCTAAAGAGCAACTGTCATCTCGAACTCTCCGCATACAAGTGGAATCAAGTAGATATACACATATCATATTACTATATGATACATTACATATATTAAGTTAAAGCTTTTATACATGTGCATTCTTGATTTTAACTTATAGCATATTTTCCTTGGAAGGTACAGTACGTAGAGGAACAGGTTGCATTCAGTGAAGAATGCGTTGATCCAAACCTATGATTTTTGAAAGAATGCTGGCTGCTGTAACATGATCAGATTCACTGACCCAGGCCTCCCCAGAGCCGCAGACCTTGAAGCAACCAGATGCTTGGAAGTTAAGGGAGGTATATAATTGTTTTACAAGCTCGCATGAATGTGTTGCGCTTTCGCATCATCTGAGTTGTTGTGATATTTCATTTGACATGGCACCTTTGGGCACCAGAAGTGCCTTGGGCATCCTTGGGCTGTTTCTGCAGGGCCAGCGTCAGATACTGACTGAGGTGAAGATTTCCCAAGACAGAAGCGGCTGGTTCTACCACCAGGCCTAGGTTGCCATTCCAACATATAGGCTTCAGGCCAATGCTATCATCATGGACTCAATTGGGACACTGAAAGTGGAGTTGGCGTTATATAATGCCTCCACGATCCCCAACTGATAGAGCTTTCAGCCAGCAATCCAGGCTCACTTCGTTGATATTGATGGCGACGGCTTACTAGACGTGGTCACAGCCAGATGCCAGTGCCTTGCAAGCAAGGCATGAGGCCTCCAATTTTGCCGGCTGCAACCGCAAATGTACTAGTGTACACTGATCTTGTTTTCCACTACCCCTTTTGATTGTTTGTGGCCTGCTCATTGTAGAGAACTGGCTGGTGCATACCTTAAGTGTCGAGAGCTGTAAGTGTCTTACCAGCTCCTCTCTTTGCTGTCGTGTCAAAACAAGCAAAGGTATGCTGTGTGGCCATGGGCGAAGAAACAGGGCGAGCTGGTCTGGTTGAAGCAGCCCTCAAAGGACTGGAGACTATAAATGTTTGTATATCATGTGTTGATCAGAAAGTGTCTTACGAACAAAACTAACTCAACCGCAGGATGCATTGTCCGGGGACTCTTGGCAAGAGCATCCCATGGGTGAAGGTCCAGACTTCCTTTTCTGCGTGAGACCTGGAAAGCCCTTCTCCTTGGTCGCGCCCGAGTTCATTACTGGCCAGGCCGCGAAGAAATGTTGGTTGATTTGGTGTGGCAACTAGGTGCCATCGAATTGACATGGTTGCCACTTCAGCATCCATTTCTTACCGAGCTGAACAGTTGCAAGGCAATCCGTGAATACCTACTGTAGATGAATACATAGACCGTGGTTTCAGTTTCAGCGCCAAAACTGTACAGTGTACAATGTATGTTTCAGAAGCTGAGATGGCCTATTGTGTATACATATATCTACATATAGTTATAAGTTATATATATATATGTATTTATAATGTAACATATGAGTTTTCCCTTCCACTTGCATCGGACGATCCAGTTGCGTCGTTTGCATTCTGGACTATCTGGTCCACACATACAGATCAAAGCCCCCATAGAGAAACACGCTGCCAGCATCAGTCAACGAAGTCCGTAGTGCGGCCAGCACTGGCCTGCAGGATCCGGCCAAAATGCAATAAATAGTGCCATACTACTAGGAGTAAATAGCTACTAGGAACAAGGGCATCGCTACTAGGAGCAAGAAGCTACTAGTAGCTCCTGGCCTTACTACTAGTAACAAGAAGCTACTAGGATAGAATCCGAAAAAAAGGGGAATGGCACCTTCGATGCCTCCCTGGCAAAGAACCTTGCCTTCCGGTTTGGCCATCCCTGGTTTCAGGGTACCTGGAAAGGCTTGAGTGCCTGGATCTTTGTCATTTGTCCATGTATTGGAGTGCTAAACTCTGCTGAAGACCGAGTTGGTGACCTGGACATGGCATGCAGGTTGGCACAATGACATAATTTTTGCCAAATATCCAAAGTGTCAGGTCGTGTACTGGTTCATGAAGGACAAGAAGATGAAGAAGAGGGTCTTGGACACTAGCATTGGCCCTGGTTTCTCTTGCTCCTGGAGTGACCTCAATAATGACACTTGTCGCGTTCCACGTCCGATTGGAGTTCGATTGGTGTTTATTTCGCCTGGTATGAGGGTAATTGTTGTACAATGGGTCGTGCAATGGGTCGTTCAGTTGGCGTGGGCAACTTTCTGAGGACGGGCATTTGGACCTGCTAGTCACCAATCATGCGATGCAGAATGGCTCTGTCTTTGCTTACACCTTCAGCAGTGATGACATTGAGACTGCCAGCATTTCCCGTCACATTCTAGCTTCAGGCTTCACACCCAGCAAGGTGAAGAAGGGCAACGGCTCTCCAGGTGGGGTGATATGTGAGAGCTCTGATGTTCAAAAACTGAAGGTGCTGCAGCTAGAAACTGCCTTGCCAGATTGATGAACTGATGAACTGTTTGAAATCCAGTGATCGTTGACTCTCCCTTGATTCAATTTCTTGCCGAAACAACATGCCCCTGTTGATAGCAGCCTCAGCTAGTGTTTTAATGTGTTTTGAGGACACGAATCTCACAAAATGATTAGCTCTTACATTGCATCAATCTCAGGTCCCACTGCATTATTTCTCACGGGTTTTCCATGCAGTGACAATTCAAGTCCTGTGGTGGAGGTGATGCTTTGCCCTTTCATCCTTTGCTCAATGAAACTGGCACCAAGCCACATATTTTTGTCTCCGGCGACAACTCGAACAGCGGCTTGACAGCAAATCGCGCATATAAGATCATACATATATATATATATACAAGAACTGTGAAAGACATGCCGTAACTTTTGGATACTTTGATTGATCAAGGCCCGCAGTAGGGTTCACGATGACAACCATACTCATAATCGAGTAGAGTCAGTCAGCTGGGTGGCGTTGTTTGCATGTTGCTTGCTTGCTTGCTTGCTTGATTGATTGATTGTTTTGTTTGTTTGTTTGTTTGTTATTTCGATCGGATGGGGGTTCGGCGTGCAGTTAAGTCCGCATGGAAATCGGGTGTCTGGAGCTTCTATACTGGTGCGCGCAGGGTTTTGTGACTGTGCGCAAACCATCTCATCGGGAGCGGGGAGTGTGGGTGGTAATGCTGTCATAGGTTGTCATCAGTTTAAAAGAACTTGCCATCGTATCATAGAACTTGTCCTCGGTATCATAGAACTTTTCATCCGCATCAGCTTGTCGCCAGTTTCATAGAACTTGTCATCAGTACGATAGAACTTGTCATCGACATCAACTTGTCATCGGTTTCATAGAACTTGTCATCGATTATATAGTCGTGTGATTAACATTGGGTGGGTGGGGGCGGGGGGAATGGGTTGTCGATGACATGATATATGACTGCGTGCACCAACGAACAACAGTCCTGATCCTCGAATTCCAAGCTTTTTTACATCATTGGAGGTGCGCCGAACCACCCGATCGGCGCGATCGGCGCGTTGTTGTTTTCTTATGTTGTTCTCTAGGTACATGTTTTGCTTATGACAGCGCTTTCGTTTGCACATGACAATAGAGATGAAAACTGTTGGAGACAGGCATTTTCCTGCTGACTCCGATTTCGCAGTCTTCCGACAATTGGACATACCACAAGGAGGAAGTTGCAGACTTGGGGGCAGACATTGGTCGCCCTTCCATCGGAGATGTGGACAATGATGGCTTTGCAGACATTTTCGTACCTTTGTACAATGCAAAGGAAGTTGCTCACTACACCTTCGCCGCTGACACCCAAAAAACAACTGAGATTCTCGTTTGAGCCCGATGATGTGTGGCCCACGACTTTCAGATCGGAATCTTATACCGAACCAAATCTATTCTTTTGAAGCATGTCATCCTCGTCCTCCGAAGCCTCCAAGAGTGACCATGACGGGCGCAGAAAGATTTCAATTCGTTCTGGCCAGCATTCCTGTTGAAACGGAAGCTGGGTTTGTTTCAAAACAGGGGACTAATAACTTCACAAAGTTTGATGGGACATGTTATAATGTTGAGCCTCCGTAATTACTTTGTGATTTGAGACATACCTAGGAAAGTGGTCAAAGTGCCTACCTCACTGCTTTTACTTTCCACTGCAGCATTCAGCTGAAGTGAAGAGGGTGGGCCTGTACAGTCAAGACCTGGATGAACTGTCATGTGCCGGGAAGGATGTTTGACGGCATTTTGCAATTCAAGAACCAATCTCTGGAAGTGTGAGGGAGAAGGACAATTCGACATTCCCCAACCCTTCTTTCCACTGCTTTCCGGTTTGTGAAGCAAACCTGCAAGTACCGGTATTGCCTCAAAGAAGATGTGGACCCCACAGTCCTGATAGGACTCGGATCAAGTGTTGACGTTTCAGGCAGTTGCCGGACGAGTGCTTTCGAACGACTCCTGACAAAAGGAGTGATGCTTCAGGACCAGAGTACTGCTTGGGTACCACATTTGAAGCGCTCTCCGTTGGAGAGGTGAGTTTGGCGGTACAGATTCTGAAAAGAGAAGCACAAGATAAAGCGCTGCACGCCTTCACCATAGGATCATCAGCGGTTATCAGCGGCCATCAGGCCAAAGGTGCTCCAGCGACTTCGCCTCGTTTGCTCAGGTGTTACCACCTGGGCCTTGTACAGGCGGGCCAAAGGATGCCAGAAGACTTCTGTTGCGACCTTGGTGGTCAAAGCAAAGAATTTTGACTAAACATGGGGGTGTTTCTTGACAACGGTTTGTTGCTCAACCAAATAACTGCTGTGAGTTGTGAGTCATTATGCACGTGGCGTAGATGAATTCTCGAATGTGGAATCTGCAAGTCTTTCTTTCAGGCAAACTGACAAAGTCGTTTGGTTTTATATACAAGGAAGACCCAACGGGATGCCTATTTGGCTCAGGTTGTTCGCTTGAGATTGATGTTTGCATCTTAGTTTGATCTTCTTAGATCTTCCAAGTCTCTCCTGACAAGCCGGACCAAGACATAGACACATAGGCTCACAGGAGCAAGAAGTTTAACAACATGAGTGCCACACCCAGTGGAGAATGATATTTTCAAGGTACGCTTCCATGACAGGCACATCTCAGAGATATGCAGCGTCCTGAGATGCGCTGGTTGCTCATTTGGTGTCGAGAAAGGACAAAACTGCGGTTTGAAAGGCTGAAGCCCTGGCTGAAGAGCTTCGGAAGGAGTCCGAGGCCAATGTGAAAGACTTTCTGTGGATGTTTTGGCCATGAGACACTGAAGAAGAGCCCCTAGTAGCGAACATTGCTCCTAGTAGTACGGCCAGGAGCCCCTAGTAGCGTCCTTGCTCCTAGTAGTGATGCCAGGAGCCTAGTAGCGTCCTTGCTCCTAGTAGCTTTTCTGTTTGAGACTCTTTTCTTTGAGTTAAGAAGACAGTGGAATGCTCAATGTTGGGTAGTCGAATATGATCAACGAAGGGACCACCCCCTTTTGGACTCCTGAACCGCAAGATTTATCCCATCACTTACTTGAGAGCTTAATTCTGGATGCTTTTCGTTGAAGGCACCGCTGGAAATTTGCTTCGAGGATCTCTCCACCTTTGCTTTTGACACTTTGCTTAGCCGCCGGTGCCCAAGTTAATGTCAAGACTTCCAAACAAAATATCAATCAATACTTTAGTGCAGATACAGAACAAGCTTTCCTATATGAACATGGCAGTTGTTATGTGCACAATCTAGACTGCCTATATAGAACCTGAGGATCGGCAGAGGCGAGGCTTTTTTCTCCTCTGAACGAATGTGAACGATCTTGGAACAGCTATGCCTTCGCTCAAGTTTGCTCAAGTTGTTTTGCTGCATCTAGCTGGAGCAGGTTTTAGCATATTCTAGCCGCGCAGCTCGGTTTCTTATCTCTTTCTCTCTTGATTCAGGTTGACACCGAGATCATAGTATTGCTTCTGTCAGCAGCCTAGATAATAAGATAGGATAGGAGAGTGTGCATTTGCTTTGCCAGGCCAGGTTCACATTTCAGTTCATATTATCAAGTAACAGAACGGCGCAGGATTGTTCTACTATATACTTGTATTTTTAACGTTTACTGTTGGGCATTATGTTCGCCGCAGCAAGAAGTATCCCTGATTGACTCTGAGGTCCACTCACAGTGATGGACTCCTACCTCCCAGTTGTGCTCACTTTGGTAAGCAAGCTGAGCATCCCCATGCAGCGAAAATGTAGTGTTTGAACGGATGAGGAATCACTCAAGACTCAAGATAGAACAGCTTCTCCGTGTCGATTGCCTTAATGAGTCACATCTTAGGTACTTTGCTGGCGGATCACGTGCATGACTTCAGGGTGGGGAGGTCTGCCATGAAGCACTTGCATTTTGTGGAAAGCTTAGCTCCTATTGCCTTTTTCCGACAACTGGTTTGGAACCATTTGCCTACCACAGAACTACCCAAGTGCCATCAAGGCAATTTGTTTCTTTGCGGCAATTGTTGCGCCTCTTTTGCTTCAGATTTGCGAGTTCCCTTGCTTATGTTGCTTTCACTTTGCATGCTGCCCATTGAAGACACTACCCGCATTTTGAAGACTTTTGGTGTGGTGTACTAATGTTACTCCAGATAGACTGGGAAGAAAATGGAGCGTTGGTTCCTCACCAGCGTCAATTAAAACGGATGGAGCAGTGTTCGATGCCTTGAGGCAGTCTTGGGCTTTGGAAGCTCTGTGTATGTCAGAACCTCGGCACAGCGCCATCCAGGCATTGCGGTGTGTGTTGGAATCATTATTGAACTGAAGTGACCGAAGTCTTAAGTGCAATTGGTCGAACGGTAATGTCTTCAACTCTGGGAAGAAGACATCACTGTTTCGGCTCTTGATGTGTTGGTTCCACCACTTTCTTGATTTATTGATGCTTTTGGGGAGCCTGTATTTTTTGGCGTGTCTCTCAAGGCTTCCGCTGGGCATTTCTGCACAGCAGCGGTGCTGTTCTTAGTCTTCAAATGTCTTAAAGAAACCATATTACGCTGTGACTGTTCGAACAAGAGACCGTCACCATTTAGCCAGTGTCAAAAGCCGCAATAATAAAGAATGCAAGAGTCTCACAAGAGAAGAGCTGCCTTCAATGTTTAAATATAATTTGCAAAAGGTACCATGGAAGCAATAGAAGTTTCCCAACGTTTCCCCAAAGTGGTGCCTTACAAGAATGGGAAGGTATGAACCATCGAAAGAGAGCAATAACTTCTCCATGCAGAAGTCCAAAGTCCAAAACAGTGGAAAACAATGAGGCATCCTCAAATCTATGTTGGATTACAGGAGGATTTTTGACATCCGCACATCTGGAATTATGATGAATTACGAGGAGCCACACGTACAAGCAGTTGTTACCAAGATTGCATGCGCTTTCTCGACTGCAGACATAGCTGCGCCGTCAACCGGCGAATCTGGAATCCGCCAGGTGCGTGCAGACGGTGCCTTGGCTGCGATGGGCGCCCAGCGGGTGGCACGCCTTACACGAGCCAGGGCGCCCGAGGGGCACCCGTTCGCCACGAGGGCAATGCCATGACAACCTAATGGCGATGGACTCCACCCTACTAGCGATGGCCCCCAACCTACTAGCAGACTAAGCAAACCTAATGCCTGTTCTCACGGCCCGATGTTGACATGCGCGAGGTGACTGACACCCAAGAACAAGCAGATCAGGTCGGTTGGCCTTTGTTGATGTGTTTATGGGGCAAATTCAAAGGACGCCACATTCGGAGTGCGATTTGGAGCGGGAATTTGCCTGATAGTAGTTTACAATTTACTGAGTCTAAAGACTGAGAATAGGATAGTTTTCCTGCAATTGCTGCTGCATCTGCCAGGTAGCAGCTTGGAAAGAGGAGTTGCATGCTGCCGTTTCGGTGCTTCTCCCAGTACATGGCCATAGTGGCTCTGTGACAATAGTCAACAGGTCCTTGAACTGGAAATTTGCATTGTTATTGGAACAAGTTTTGAGAGAATTAAAGAGGCGCGTAGGGTGTGGGCTCATGCAGTATGTCAGTATGTACAGGGCAGCCATTGAAATGCGATATACAGTAAAGTATTTCGCATTTTGTGACGCAATATGCAATCGTGTAGTTTGGACTTTTGAACTTGAGTTGCACATTTTTTGCTGCTGATAGACATCTTGATCACAACCTGCAATGGTCCAAAGGTAGCCTTGCGGGGTACAAACCCGCAGCAGGCTGGGATTGCGCCGGTTGCTTTCTGACATATGTGCGCACCTCTAGCTTCACCCGCCACAGTGTGCTTCAGCCTGTCTTTTTGGCACCGCCTTTCTCGGTGTTTACCAAGGATCTTATAAATCGGCACGAAGGTCGTGTTTGCACCCCACCTTACCACATCTTTTCCTGTAGAATAGACCTTTTGAGAGGTGTCTTGGCCAGCAAAGCACCAAGACAAGCTTCAACATTGCCCATTGCAAGGCCATCGGGGTTGAGGGACGCGAAGCTGCTGAGGTGCGAAGCTGTGACTGGTTCCATGTTCACTTTCAATATTTCTTGTGCAGCGGAAGGAGATCAGGGGCGGAGTAAGGCGGATTTGCTTGGTGTGTTTCAAATTATTAGATGGACCAGTACAATAGATGAGATGCGGCCATTGGTCGGGAGTCCCCTCCGTTTGAGATAGAAAGCCATCAGCTAAGTCTCCACGTATGAATCTTCCCTGAACATCAATCCTGCAAGTAACGTACCATTTGCAGTTTTTACAACCTATGCCGCCTATGCCCCTTCAACCCTTTGTGATTTTTTCCTGTAGGCAGCAGTCTCCAACACTGTGGATCTGGCAGGCAGGCTGAACTCAAAACGCCCCAGTTGAGAATTTGATTCGCATTTATGGGCCCATGTGCAGGAGACATACTGCACAGACTCTGAATGGATGTGTGGTTTGGTAGCGTCGATGAGGGTGCGCATGGTAGTTAAACATCGCGGTCTTTTTATGTCTTTTTAATCTATACACATATACTGTGTACGATTGAAGGGGAAGACGGGGTGCTGGATTTTGGCCCATTCCCCAGGGTGCACAGAGTGCTTGTAGTTTTGATATGTTTTGATATATTTTAATGCTCCCATCAACAATCTGATGACAGAGGAGTGCGCAGACAGCCTGTGAAGGTGAAGACGACGATGCTTCTGAATCAGAAGAGAGTACCACCGTAAGCTCAGGCGTCCAGGGGAGATGTGTGGACAGCTGTAATACTTCTTTTCCGATGTCAGAGAAGCTGCTCCAAACAAGCCTGCAATTTTAATTCTGCCGTGCTGGCTAGGCAACATTGTCCCCTGAAACTTGTGTTCTCTGAATAGCTGCAAAATATTGTCCAAAGCTAGGCCACCCCAGACACATATTGCATGTGGCATGTCTCAAGAGAATCTATGAACTATGGCTGGTGCGAGACTCTGCAAGACCTCACGGAGTTGTTTTTTTGTCCGTTTTTCTTTTAACCAAATATATATATATATATCAAGAAACAAGAGATGATAAGGTGGGCGAAGGTCAGCCGGATTCGGATACAGCACTTTTTTGTGTCTAAATGTTTTTCTGATGTTTGATGGTTTGTTCATTCGTTGGCAGTGGCGATCTTCACACATTTGAGAGCCATGGCGCCTTCTTCTGGACGAAAGCGAGTGCCAGCGCGAAGTGGACGGACAACCACAACTTTTCAGCAAGCGACAGACACACGCGCTGAAGTCAGCAAGTGTTGGCTGTAAAGTGTGCCATTGATGCTCTAGCTACTTTGGCACTGTGCTCGATTCTTCATTCAAGATAGTTGACCAGCTACCGACAGCGTGTAGCACTGAGGAAGCAACATCAGAGTCCTCTCCACAAGAGGCTGGCGACTCGCGCAAAGACGAACTGGAGCCGCTCTCACAAGAGGCATGCGGAGCAGCGTGACAAACTTGCGTATTGAAATATAGTGTTGTTGCAATACATATGATGTGCTCACACTTCGTCAAAAAGGTTCTCCTTGAGCGGGAAATTGGTCATGGCTGATTATAGTTGTGAAAACTTGGACATTTGATGTGGATAGGCTTTCATGAACATTTATGTATCGGCAGATTTAGCAAATGTTTACTTGATGCAATTTGGACCCGATGAATTACAGTACGGAGTATGGGAGGACTTCTCGCAACATAGACTGCCCTGCAAATCGATGGGAGAATCCTGATAGCGGAAACAGAGAGATGATCTCCCCTTGATACTCATTCGGTAGAACTCAAGCACAACTACGTAGACAGTATTACTGTAGGTTTTTGACTAGCATCCACCCCCAATACTGATGTGATTTGTTGTTTGAATGTTGGGAGGAGCTCTCGAAGAAGTATGGCTTGGGCTTTGCTTTGCTGCAACGGATGGGCTATTCTGCCGGAGCGCCACTGGCTCCTGGTGCTTTGGTCGCACCCTTGGCTGCGAAGGCCAACCCAGGGCGCCAGGGATTGACCGAGGACCGAGCCGGAGAGTAGCCGAGTCAAGATGTCCCAGTGAAAACCGTTGGAAGAACACATTTGGGTGATTTTGACTCCTGAAGCCCTGCAGTCTGTCCTTTTGAGTTGCCACTCACCTATATTAGCCTATATTATATTATATATAATGAGTTTGGATGCCATGTCATGCCACCGCCTGAATATATCTGAATGTCATGTTTTGTCACTCAGATTTCGATGTCTTTCATTTGTTTCATAGTCCATTTTGTCTTCCTCTCAGGAGGCGGAGCCGGAAGCCCAAGAGCCCGATCCAAGCGACCTGACTGGACTGCTGGATCAAACCCTGCGCAGCATGCGGGAGGCTGGTGACCTGGAGGAAGCTGAGGACCTGGTTCGTTTGGTTTGGGCAGCGCTTTGGGCCAAGTTGAAGCGCTGAAGTATGTTGAAGTGCAGAATGTCATGCATCATGATGCATCATGCATTTACTGTGACCATTCTCGCGGTTCTCCCTGTGAAAGGACAAACCTTAGTAATACAGTTTCTCTTCAGTTCAATTTGAAGGAGCTGCAACGCCTGGCAAGCTTTTGTGGAGGAGGCTTGGAAGGGAGCCTGTGTTGCACGTGATCGAATTGGGTGACCACAAATTGTCTCTCTACCTGTAGAATCGCGCGGTTTATAGAAAAGTCATGTGTTCAGGTTTCTAAAATATATTTTTGCTTGGAATTCTTTGGTGCGACAAACGGAACCAAAATGCTGAACTAGAGCTTGAGTGTTTGACCGAGAAAGACTTAAACCACCCAAAGTGTATGTGATCCTAGCATGATCATACAAGTTCGCGCGGAACACTCTTTGGTTCGGCAAAAGCTCTTCCATGTTGGTATCTTCCAAGCAGCATGATAGTTTCTTGAGTGGGCATGGATCATTGGTTCAAAACCTTTCGACCACGGCCTCACAAGTTGAGTTTGCACATATATATATATATATAATCCCTGTGCTTTACGGTCCAGGGATTCAACGTTTCAAAGGTGTGATGGCAAACTTAAAGTTCTTTGGAGTTGTTTACTTATGTTTGCTTCTTGGTGTGAACCATGATTTCCAAGCACTCCGGCTATTTGTGGGAGTGCCAAAGCCTAATCCTAAGGAATCCGTTGCCGAAGCCAAAGCGGCGACGCCCACGGGATGAACGTGCAGATGATGGAGATGCTTTGGCAGAAATTCTACGGCAGTTTCGAAGCCCCGAGTTTCCAGCCGCCGAGCAGCAACTCCTAGTGATTCAGTCTTGCAGTACTATAATTCCTTGGGGATTGACATCGGGTGGAACTTAAGATGTTGGTGCCGCAACTACTGTAAGGGTTTCTGCCGGTGGGGACACTTTATACATCTCGCGAATTCCCAGATCGCTCTGCATTATTCTGTATTTTTCTCAGAATTTGGATAGTGGGGGGCAAGTGGAGTTTCACAGAGAGGTGGGCAAATCCTACGGACAGGGTGGGCAATGAAGCGTCCCAGCTTTTGTATGCTTTTGTAATTGCTAAGACTAGGACGGGAACTGCCTTTATGTTGATGCAGGTCGAAATGCAACAACAGGAACGCTTTCTCAATTGGCAAAAGCGCTGGCGGAGCACCAGAGGCAGCTACAAAGGCTTTGTGGAACGACAGGAGAGTCTCAGCCGGACAGGGATCATATTGCCTCAGGCCATGTTGTGGAGTTCAGTTTACATTTATATATAAATCACACACCTTTAAGGTTTAACTATGGAACAAAGGCTCATTTCATGTGGCTCCTTGACAAGGTTCTTATTTTGTCTCATGCTTCCCCAAGGCATCTTCAAGTGTTTTCTTGCCCAACTGGACTGGTGATGGTGCTTCCAAGAGATCGATCTGAACCACAATTTGATGCGTTTCTGAATACATGCATCGATTGGTGTCGTTATCAGATCCTTGGCAGGCTTGAGTCGGACGATCGTATTGTTTCGTTTGTGAGCAGACATAGCCCAGGAGGAAGCTGTTCTCGATGCTGATTATGCAAAGGAACATAAAGGAGCTGGAAAATCTAAACGCATAGCGGATAACTGCGGATAATCATATATTAATATACTGGACATGGTTGGCTGTGGCCTTTTCCTTTGGTGCATTGAATCTCCAAGGAGCAGCAAATCTCCCAAGCGATTGAAGCGGAAGTGGCGTCACATGACCACTGTGATCCAGCGGCTCTGCCGGTCACGCGCCAAAGGCGCTGCAGAGCCGGACGAGTCCGTGGCTTTGGAGGAACAGATCAGCGGGTCAAACGAGCCCTTTGAGGAAATGGCCAGCGAGGCCATCTCTCAAACTGACGTGCCTGTGATGCAACTTAAACCATCGTGAAAGCTATGTCAGCTATATGCTTGTTTTTCCACAAGGAGCTAGGCACTTGTAGCAGAGTTTAGGCTGCAAGTCTGACATTGAAGATATATATATATATATATATTACAGAGTATGTGTTTAGTTTGACTAAGAGCGCGCCGGCATATTTGATGTTTGCATGACAAGGACGAGACATTGGGGCTTGGGTGGACTTTGGATGGAGCTGAGAGTGAGCAAGACCCGGAGCATCATGCTTTGAAGTCATCATTTCGTGAGGAAAAGGGCGTGGCACAAGGGCCTGCAGATCGACCTACACAGCGAAATACATGAGGAGGTACTGTAAGGCCCTTTTAATGAGGCCTGTTACCTTTAAATGTTGCTCTTTTCTTATTTCAAGCACCTTCAGAATGACCTAATTACGCCGGTCCTTGCACGGTTTGTTCGATCATCAAGTACAAGATGATGATTTTGATGTTCAGTTCCGTCGTTTGGCAGAGTGGCTTGGCATTTGAGTAAAGTGGGGTTTGGGGAGCTTTAAGTTTTCTTGGTAGCTGGCTGCCTTCTTTATTGGCAAGTTTTGGAGCGTACATGACAGCAAAATCGGAGGTGAGGCAGAGAAGAAAGGGGCGTTTGCAGCTTAGTTGCTCGCAGTGCACCATTAACACCAAGGTGCTATGGATTCTTGTGTTAAGACGCTTTGCAATCCGCACAACATTTTGCTGCAAGGTCAGACGTCGAGGAGCTTGCTGAAGGCTGTGCAAGTACCAAGGAGCCACACAAATCAAGCTGGCATTTTCTACCAGCCATTTTGCATTATTATTAGTTTTTGGTTGAGAGACGGCTTATACATTTCCTGAACTTGTACAACAACTTGGACCAGCAGCATCCGTATTAATCCTGATAGCTTTTCCCACTTTGTCACTGTAGGAACGCCCGATGCTTACCAGCAAACACCGTGCGCAGCTGACCAAAGAGGGCTGGGACCTCACTATTTCACTGGACTCCATGTCATGCTTGGACAGGGCTGCTTTTTGAGTGTAGCCTGGAATTTTCTGCAAGGCTTTCCTCAAAATGCTGCCAAGAAATACAGAGAACACATTTTGGTTTGTCAACAGTTTTTCAGATCCTAAAGCTGGCCGACCTGAGAGGATCACAGCTACCTGGCTAAGGCTACAAAATCATTGGCTCCCATTCTGCGGTGAAGCTTTGTCGCTGGACAAAACATCAACTGCGAGGCCCGAGCTTGCATTTGAAGGGTGTGTGATTCGCAGGAAGCTTCAGTGTATTTCTTTTAAAAAAATGTTTTATTTGCCTGTTTGATATTAGTGGATTTCTGTGATTTTCTTGTCGACAATATATATATATATATGCGAAAAAGGGTAGCAGCGGCACCCGAAGTCCGCAAACACGAAAACAAGAGGGCGCACTGAAGCGCCGCGGCCGCGCCTTTTGCAAGGCAACTGCCCTCCCAGTCTTGAGAGGGAACGACGGTAAGTGAAGGTCGAAAACAGTTCGAACTGCCGAAACACAAGTGCACAGCGTGAACTTTACATGGGGGAGAGTCCTTCGTCATCACCCCAGTTCCGCTGTTCGAGCCGGTCCAGCCATTGGTAGACCAAGGTCCGCACAGATGAGCTTGACCGATCATCGACAAGGTCAGGTGGAATCACCCTCAAACTACAAAGGCGGCAGAAATCTACTCGCCGCTGCAGGCTTTCATCTCTTCCGGCCAGGCTTGAACAGTTCAAGGTCGTGTGCCATCTGGCGCCATGCCGGCTGATGATCATGCCATTGTAGAAGGGGCATTCATTTCCATGCTCATCCATCTGCCTCAGGGCGATCTTCAGGATCTGGGAGGCTTCCTGTGCAAGGGTCTCAGCAGCATTCTGGTTTCTCAGAACCAGATTCATCGCTGTCGTGGCTTCGACAGCAGCAAGGCGGGACTCCTCGGCTTTGGAACTCCAGCGCAGGACTTCCTGCTTCAGGCGTTTGACTTCTTCTCTAAGGCGAGCTGGGATGATCGCTTCATCCTTTTGGACTGCAGCCTCAGTGACCTGGGGTGGTACTCGGTGGTGTGCATCATGGCTCCATCGACCAACCATGAAGGCTGTGCTCAAAAAAAGTAGAAGGAGGGTGCACAAAACAGTTCCAAACCAATCCATTCCAGCTTCAGGTTCCACATTGGCCGAATCGGCCGTGACCAGCTGCGGGGCCATGAACAAAAGCAAGAACCAAAACATGAAATTCGTCTTACGACCGCGGTAGGACTCGAGCGGGCGGCTTCCGACATGGCTCGGACTGTCGGAGACATACTCAAGCTTCCGGTCGGTCCTGGCAAACATGACATTCACAGGAACCTTGGAATTCCGAAAAATCTCTTCATTCCAAAACACCTGCTCATCGACATTCACGTCATTCTCCGCAGGATTCTCGTCGATGGGCTGCTGGTGCTCCTCGTGGAGGTTGGGTTCTTCATTGATCACATGTGGTGGTACCACATGGATGCTTTCAGGTTCCTCATTGATCACATGTGGTGGTACCACATGGATGCTTTCAGCAAGACTCTGTTGGAGCTCAGCTTTTGTCTTCTTCTTGGCAGCTTTGTATGAGGGGTCCCAAACAAGCTTCAAACGACCGTGACGTAGCCGTTGTGCAAGAAGTGCCCTGGCCGACTCTTTTGTCAAACGGTCAGCCAGTTGGCGCTCCGATGACATCCACCTCAAAGAACCGCCCAGTGAAGACAGGCGATCCTTCATCACACGGATCTCAAGCGAAACTCGCTTGTCAACCACAGAGCTTCCGACTCCTTCTCGGTGATAGGAGTCGTAAAGGGCTTTGGCGTCCGTGATCATGGTGGGCGACAACAAGGATGGAGCGTCCAAGAGCTCTTGGAGTCGCTGGCGAGGGTCAACCAACAAGCTCCAGTAGATGCTGGCATGCTCCAAGGCATCGCAAGCTTGACCACCGCTTTGTGCTTCGGCGCCCAAGGAAGAGCGTGCAACTCTTGGCGTTTTCAAACTGCGCCAATCCAACACGTGGTAGGCTCCTTCGGGACCATTGGCCTGAAGCAAAGCTTTGTTGACCATCAGGATCACATAGCCAGCTTGTGAGGCTCCGTCACTGCGGGTGGCAAAGGCAGCATCAAAAAAAACATACCAAACAAAGTTCTGAAACTTCGCCCAGGTGGCTGTACTGTAGGCCAACATCAGCATTTTCTTTTGCAAAACGCAGCAGGCGATTTGTGTCGGCCACTGTCTGAAGCGTGGCCTTGGTGACATGACCGCTCAGGATCGAGGTGCTGCTCTGCAAGTGAGGACTGCTTTGAACTGCGGGCCATTGAAGTGAACCAAGAAGTCCTCTCAGCTGTGTCAACTCACGCTGATTGAGCGCATCGGTGAGGCTGCGCTTCTTGTCGTAGGTGATCGGTTTCACCTTTCCCATGTAGCTGGTCTGGTTGAGGAGGAGACCATCATCCTTGACCTGAATGTCACAACCACAATAGGTCAAGGGCTTTCCATCATCACCAGTTTTCCATTCACGGAAGTTGAAGGTGCTCTTCAGCTTGGTGATGGTGTCGTTGTAGCACTGGGAGGATGGCGAACCGCAACCAAGCATGTCATCGACGTGCATGATGACCATACCACATAGGCCATGAGGTCCAAGCAGGTTGGAGTGCTCAGCTGTGGTGTCATACTCAGGGTTGAGGTCACCTTCATAGATCAAGAAGCAGCAAGGGTCTTGAGGATGCTGTCGGAGGCCCATAGCGCTCAGCTTATCAACTGCAGCCATGAACCAAGATCTCGGGGCATCGATCTGGCCGTAGCAGGGCTTGAGAAGCAACATACGGGTGTCAGCTGTAGCTCCAAGCAACTGCAAACACTCTTGAGGAAGCTGCACCCACAACTTGCGTGTCTGAGGTCGACCCTGCAGGAAGGCGGTTGCTATGTCTGAAGTCCAGATTGGCCACTGCATGGTGGAGGCCAAACTCAACAACATGGATCTCGACAGCCTCGTGGTTGTGGGCGATGAGGTTGGAACAGTTCCTTCCCAAGCGTCTGGGTCCATGAAGCCTCTGACAATGAGCCTGGCTTTGGCACGGGGGCTGCCATCAGGATTCTTTGACCACTTCAGCAGCATGCGACTGGTCAGCGTCCGACTGGGCTCAGCTTCTCTGGTGGTCTCGAACTGCCAGACGTGGTTGTCAAAGAAGGATTGCAACTCTTTGACCTTTGCAGCTTTGAAGGCTGCTCTCTCATCAGGAGTCATGTGGCGCTCCGAGAGGTTGTTCTTGTTCTTGTCTTTCTTGAAGCTTTTGGCGTGCCGGAGTTTGGTCTCCTTGCCAAGCTGTCGTGCTCCTTGAAGTGGGGCCTTAGCGAACATGGCCATCTCTCGACGAAGGTCGCCTTTGATCTGGAAGATCGTGACTCCAGTCCATGAGCGATCCAAGGGAGTGGAAGCCGTGTAGCCATCGTCGGTCTGTTGGATGCTTTTGCCGTTGTTGTCATACATAATGGTCACCCGAACCAGATCAAGCTGATCTGAGGTGAAGGGGCTGTCTTTTGGCAATTGGTGCAGGCACATCTTGGACCGTCGAGGGATCACATGGTGTCTGATCAAACATCCGGCTTTGACTTCCCAGAAGTCGCGGTCTCTCTTGTCGAGCTGGAAGTAGCCATTCTCATAGGTCCAACCTTTTGGCAGGCAGTTGGCTTCAATGCCGGAGACTTGGAAGGCATGATTCAGCAAGGCGTGATCAGGTGCCTTCTGACTTGCATAGAGAGCAGGATCATCCGAAGCAGCTGGAGCTGCCGATACTTGGGCTGGCGCTTCTGCGGCTGCCGCTGTTGCTTGTGTGTTGTGCTCTGCACTGTTGTGTTCTGCTTCTGGTGTTGTTGTTTGTGACGTCGTGTTGTATGGCTGTGGTGACCCAATGCGCTGTCTTCGCAGGGGGCCAAAACTAAGTGTCTCCTGTCTGTTAAAGCGAACTCGTCGTTGTTGAAAAGTTTCAGCATCGACTGGTTCATACAATGCTGCAGTGTCAGGGTCCAGTGAAGGCCCTGACATTGATGCTTGAGGTGCTGTTGCAATAGCCGGTGGTGATGCAGCATGTGGTGTGGGTGCTGCAGATGGTATGGTTGGCTCTTCGCTGGGTTCGACCACAGTAGGAGCCCGTGAGCGGGACCTAGTGGTGGCTGGTGAACCTGGTACAGTGATCTCGGCTGGGGCCATGGGCAGCAACATGTTTGGTTCTGCTATCACTGGTGTTGGTGGTGCTCTGGGAGACGTCGGTGCAAAGCTGGAATGAGCAGGTGAGGTAGGCTCATATTCAT